CAGCTAAAATACTAAGGTTTTCCTATCTAACAAATTTCTCTTCACACTTTTTCTTTATAATATAAGGTTTTTTACTTATAACTATAACTATAACTATAGTTTTTCCTTTTATATAAAGGTTTCTACTATAGTTAAGATATAATAAACTATAAGTTTATTCTAAACTAAAATAAATTTAAAAGAGAAACTAAGAATAAGATTTATTATAAGAACTCTTATCTAATCTAATTATATCCTTATATCTAATAACTATATAGACTTACTATATTTATATTTATATTAAGTAAAATAAGAGCTTTATAACTATATATAACTTATTTATATAACTATAAGATATACTTATAATTATAAAGGTAATCTAGAAAAGTATTACGACCTAGAAACCGTTAGTTAACATAACTACCTAGAACAAACCTATTAAAAGACTAAGAGAATAATTAGGCTTATATATATATAAATATAGTACTTAACGTATATGCATAGTAAGTCGGCCATCATAGTAAGTCGGCCACCTCCTCCTACCCTCTAGCTGTTTATGTAAGTTAATTCAGCAGCATCGTACAAAATCAATTAAAACTACTCATCATCCTCTTCTTCAAAGGTCTCCTAAACTACCTAACATGTTCATACGTTATATCCAGTCTTTCTATAATTACCACATCATTACCTACGCATTTCACCCCCCTCTATATAAGCCCCCTCTTAACACATATTTTTGGCTTTAATATTAATAACCTTTTTTTTTACCTAGATTACTTTTGCTTTAGCTATATTAAGGAACCCTCTAAGACATAGTTAGGTTTTTTTAGCCCTTTAATATTTACTTAGTATTTTATTTATTATATAAAGCTTATAATACTTAACTTTAATAAAAGCTAATTTATATACTAATTTATTAATACTTTTAGCTTATAAGTTAATTACTTTATATAAAGAAGTTAATAAGTTATATTAATAATTAGTAATCTTTTTTTAAGTAATATAAAGCTTTATATAATATTATATATTATAATTAGTATTTTTAGGTCTTAAAAGCCTTAGTTATTTAAGTATAAGTTAAATAATATTAATACTTTTAGCTTAAAATTTAAATAAAAAATAACTACTTTAAAGTTAAAAGAGATAATATTAGTTTATTTAAAATTAATTTATATATTTTTATTTATTTATTAAAGTAAAAAAAAGTTATTTTAAAAATAAAAAATAATTTTTTTTAATAATATATATAATTTATATTTATATTATTTTTTTTAATTTTTATTATATAATATTTTTAGTAAACTAAAATAATTAATATTAAGAAGCTAAAGCTTATATAATAAATAAAAAAGTATATAAAAAGTAATAATATTATATTTTTTATAGTAACTATTAAACTTAGTAAACTTATAGCTATTATAGCTATTAAAAATTAAAAGCTATTTAATATTTTTTATATAAGACTTTATATACTTTTTAAAATACTATAATTAATTTAAATTAATTTTATTTATAGTTTATTTATTTTTATTAAAATAAATATATTATTAAAGTAAAAGTTAGTTATTAATATATTAAAAAAAAAGTAATATTTATTTTTTATAATAATATATAAAAGTAATACCTAGCTATTTATATATATACTTTAAATAATAAAAACTTATTTATAATTACTAAGCTACTTTATATAAAGCCTTTTATAGTAATTAAAGGTTATAATAACTTTTATATATAATAGTATTTTTATTAAAAAGCTTATTTTATTAAAATTATAAATATTATTATTATAAATTCTATACTTTATAATTATATTTTATATAAAAGTAAACTAAGCTTATATAATTATAAGATCCTTAGCTAATACCCTTTAATAATTAATTTTATATTAAAATATATCTTTAGTTATAGTTAATATTATATAAAGTTCTTTACTTATTAAGATCTAATATATATTATATTATATTTATTAAAGAAGTAATTAGCTATATTTTATATATTATTAAGTTATAAAAGAAATCCTTAATTAATAAAGTTAATAACTTATTTAAGAATTACTATTTCTTTTAGTTTAGTTATTTTTATTAATTTTAATTACGTTTTTTATTATAATAGTTATTTAATGTATTAATCTTAAAGTATTATTTTTAAGATATTATAGATAATAGCTATTTTTTATATAGAAAAATTTTAGTCTTTATTAATAGCTTAAAGTATAAGTATAATATAGCTCTCTTTTAAGGAGTATTCTATAGTTATATATAGAGGAAACTTAGTATAAAGAGGAAAGGTGTAGAAGTAGAGAGAAGTGACCGACTTACTATAATAGCTAACTCACTATATATGTACGTTATAGATAAGGGTTGAAATAAAAGAACTATAAACAAGTTATATAATAATAATAAAAGTAATTAAAAAATAAATTAATTACTTTAAGTAATTACTAAGTAAACAGCTTATCTTAAGCCTACTTTAGTTAACTACTTTTACTAGTATTATAATAAATAAAGATAATAACGTATATATATAGTAAGTAGTGTATTATAGTAAGTAGTATACTTACTTATTATACCTTAAAAAGTACTTTTTTAACTATTTTTAAAGAATTATTATTTTACTTAAAATTAGTAAAACTTAGTATTTAGCTATTATTAAGATTTATATACTAGTAAAAAATATATTAGAAACTATTATTATATTATTACTTTTGTTCTTATATATTTTCTTTTATTTAAGGCTATAATAAAAAAAGTGTAAGGGTTAAGGTATAGTAGTAGTTTTTAAAGATATTCTTTAGTAATATATAATTCTTACTTATAGCTAAATATAAAGTTTTATTAGTTTAAAATAAGATTTCGATTTTTTAATAATAGTTGAAAAAGTGCTTTTTAAGGTATAATAAGTACGTATATTACTTACTATAATACGTTACTTACTATATATATATGTTACGCTTATTAAATATAATAATACTACTACTAATAGTATATTAAGATATCTGATCTTTAAAATATAACTAATTATTACTTTAGTAAATTATTAAGTCTAAGAAGATATTTATTTATATATTTATTAACTAGCTTTTTAAACTAAGAAGTTATAATAAATTATATATAATACTTTAATACTAAGTTATATATAAAGTTAGTAAAGTATTACTACATAAGCTATTTACTTAAGGACTATTTTAGTATTAACGTAAATAGCTATTATAACTAACATACCTGTATAGTAAGACTAAGAATTAAGAAGTAAAATTCTTATAATTCTTACATATAAATCTCTTTATAACTTTATAACTAAAGGTCCTATAAATATATAGATAATCTTTCTAGATTCTTCCTGAAAAATAACTTATAAAAGTATATATTACTATATATAACTATACTAATGCAAACTACTCTAAACTAATGCAGTCTACTGCATATAAACGCATATACTTCTAAGCATTATATATACCGGCGCTTATACCTATCTATAGGCATATACAGGCATATATATATATATACAAGAAACATATAAGTACCTCTCAGCGCTTAGATATACGCTTAGATACTATACGTATCTAAAGAACCTTATATATAACTAAGAGATATTCCCTCTACTTATAATAGATATATTAGAATTGTATTAATTCAATGTAATAACCTTATCTTTTACCTTTACTTTCACTAAGTCTCTTTACTTCCCTGTGACTATCTAAGAATATTATTAAAATATTCTTACTGTAAGTAGGCTAACACAGTAAGTAGGCTATTACCTTATTATACCTTAAAGGGTACTTTTTTTAACTATTTTTTAAAAATCTAATTCTTATCTACAATAAATATAACTTCATATACGAGTTCTAATAAGGGTTATTAAGTAAAAAAAAATCTACTAGTAATTATTGTTATACCTTAACCCTTAGAAACCTTATTGTTTAGTCTAATAAGAAAAGTTAAGTAGAATAAAGGGTTAAGGTGTAGTAATAATTTTTAATAGATTTTGTTTTACTTAATAACCCTTATTAAGACCTATGTGTAAAGTAGTATCTATTTTGGATAAGAATTGGATTTTTAAAAAATAGTTAAAGAAGTGCCCTTTAAGGTACGATAAGGTAATAGCCTACTCGCTATGTTGGCCCACTCGCTATGCGAGTAAGTTATATTTTCTTCTATAACTTAAATCTTATTAGAACTTAAGGTTAAAGTCATATTTATTTTAAAAAAAATCTAAATTAAAAAAAAAGTTTAAAAAGTGCCTTTAAAGGTTAAAAAAGTAATACACCGCTTCCTATGTTACACTACTTACTATATATATAAGTTACAACTACGTGATATATTATTATATAAGTAACTACTAGAAAAGTAATTTATTTACTTATACAACTTACTGACTTCTAGATTATATTATCTTATAAATCTATATACTTTAACAAGAATACTAATCACATAATTACGTAATGTGCTCTGGATTAACCAATATTTCGGTCACTTACCATTGCATCGGCTATCCTGCGGCCATTGTGGCTTTCTTCGAAAAGCGCAGCACCGTCTAGCCTTGTACAGGAGCGGGAGCGGTGGATCCTGTGACCCCAGTGGGATTCAGTACGTATGCCCCCGCTTTAAAAAAACTCTTTCCTGAGGTTAGCCTGTGTCGGCATGCAGGGGTGGAGAAGTGCCACCATTCCCACTCTGGCGTACCCCTTACGTCTGCGACCAGGGATTAGCATGGAAAAATAGTGGATGACCAGCAGATTTGGTGAGGGAGAAAAAAAAAAAGACGAGAAAAAAAAAGGGTGCGAGCTCCCTTCCCATGTTCCCAGTGTTATGTCGTTGCCCGGCGTGTAAAGCCCATCCGTCCCCCAAAACACGGAAGACCCCTAAGTCAATGAAGATTACCGATCCCTCCCCTTCGTTCCTCATCTCTCCCCTCGTGCATGACACTCCCTGATTCCTGAATGTTTTCGTCCCAAGGGTTGTTATCATCACCATAACACAACAATTTCAATACTGACCTGACCACCTTAACCTGTCGCCAAGATGCCGTACAATACCCGTCGCAAGTCGCTGTCTTTACCGTCCTTGGGGATCCACGTTCCCGGTAGCCATTCATCCCGCAGCCCTGCTACCGCCACCTCGAATCGAGCCATTTCCGAGAACCTGGGAAATCGCATCACAGTCACATCGACATCAACGTCGCACCCAAACAAGAGACAAAAACGCTCGCATGGGGAGGAGGGGCCACAGCATAGATGCGCTTCGCACAAACGCCCCGATGAGCAGGTCATGTTCGACCATACGCCGCCGCCATCCCCCACGCCAGACAGCATCGGGATGCAAGACGCCACCAGCGACGTCGTATCTACAAAACAGATAAACCTCGACGGCATCCACGACGAGATTGTCGAAGCCGTCATAGTCCAGTTACAGACTACATGCAATCGCCCTCATCTGGTCAGAGAATTGGCCACCGTCTTGTCGCAACAGGTTCCTATAGTGAAGAAGTAATGCTGTCTCACATGCCGCTTTGTTTTGACTAACGCTAACGTTTTTTCCAGCTCCGCGAACCCTTGTGCCATTATCTCCTCTCGCCTCGCCGCCTACTTGAAGCGCTCTTGCTGGAGTGCTCTGGCACCATGCCCATTGGGTAAGGAGCTTGAGACGATACATCCGCGACGGACATACTTTTACTTGACAACCTGTTCAAGGCAGCCTTTCCCAGACTCGCCAGCTTACGTCCATCGAGCTGTTATTTCCCCATCGCTCTCGAGCATTGCGTCGGGGTCTGAGGACGGCGATGACGTCGACCTTCGACGCAGGGAGCTGAGCCCGTCCCCAGAGGTTGATCTTTCTTCTCCCGAGTTCGATGACGGAGATGACGATTTTGCAATGCCAACTACACCTGTCGGTTCACTGCCCAACAACCTCAGATACTCCAGAAGCCACCGCAGTGCCTCACCTCCCTTGGAAAAGGATGAGCGCGAGTTTACTCAAACAGCCGACGTTCTTCAGAAGCGCAAGCTGGCCCGGGAGCTTTCGTCAGCAGGCAATGTCGAGCAGTCTACCAGTGCCTATGAATCGGCACGGGATGACGGCATGTTTGAAGAAAAACACGGCGCAACGGTCGGTAACGGACTTGTTCTTACACATCAGTTCATTACCAGCCCAACCATCAAGGCAACGGCGCCTTCAAGCGCCAGAAAGGAAACCGACGGCGATAGTTGGTTCAAGTTGGGCAACCTACTAGAGTGGGATCATAGTCCAGAGAACATTGAACTCGACGAGCTTGACTGTTTGCTGGACTCTTGCTGATGGCTGTGATGTCCAACGTGAAGCTGAGAATTGTTCCACGTCTCGTCTCACCAAGCCAACCGAGTGTCGGCAGAGGATGTCAAGAGCCACCTCATGAGTTATCACTAGTGATGCGCTGGGCAGTTCCCCTTCCCGTTCAGGTTTGATATCGCTCACTGGCGATCATCTGCATAGACCGTCTTTCTTCTTTTTCTTGTTGTTCTTCTTCTCATGACTGGAAGGAGTTTGCGGCAAAAATTAATATGCGACCGGATGATTGCGAAAATAGGAGTGAGATCTGGGGTATGTGATATTATTTTAGCATCGAGCCAATTTGGCTTTGGGCGCAGGAACAAAGGGTGAGCGGATGGTTTGTATTAGTACTTGTACAAGAGCCTCATCCGACGAGTGTCTATGGAGGCTTTGATGTTTGGGGCTTATGAAATGGGGGAAAAGCAAAAGATGGTGGGGTATGATTGAAATGAAATAAACAAACCTCTCCTGTCCTCACATTTCAAGGGGTACCCGTTGACAACTATAAAATACGCAACTTTCCGCACGTTGTCCTACAGCGAGCGACTGAGGATAGCAAAAACCCAAGCCGTTCCAGATATGCAACAAGGAGGTTGAGGATTAAGAGGTGCCAGACACTTTCAGTTCAATCCACAGGGTTGTCCCGAGCTGGGTAAAGTACGGGCGATCGACTTTGACGACCTCGAGCCCGGGCAGCGATTTGGCGGCATTGTCCACGATTTCGGCAATGTCTCGATTCCACCAGCACCCATATTCTAGTGAGAGGGAAGCATTAAGTCAAGTTGAGGTGAATGAATCCGAGAGGGCCTACTTACTCTTGAAATGGGAAGCGGCCGACTTGTCCAGCAAACCGTTGACGAAACCCCACCATCCTCTACCATGTTCGACGAGAATGATTCTGCCACTACCTGGCTTCACCATGTTGGCCAGATCCCGAACCACTTGTTCAGGGTCACGCACACTACATAGCGAAAATGTTGAACAGACAAAGTCATACTTTGACGAGATGGACAACTGCTCTGGGGTGGGGGAATAAAATCGTGTATGTCGGACTGAAAGATCCTCAACCTGTCCGACAAAAAGGGGAAGACGCTACAGTCACTCTGTATAGGCGAAGCCTGCCTTTCAGCTCCAGGCTTAACACCTGCCAACTGAGGAACAGTTTCAACAAGCTTTTCTATGGCGACTCCCAGCATCTCGCTGGAGATGTCCACCCCAGTGTATGAGAGAATCGGCGCTGATGTGGTATTGAGGGATTTGCCGTCAACTTGGTTCGTCGCTGCAGCTTCAGCTCCCATTGATGACGCAAGTGTTGATCGAGACTGGAGGACAGTGTTCCAATCATAGAAGGACAGGTTTCGCCCGGTGCCCATGGCGACTTCAAGCACATGCCCCGAAGCTTCCGCGGCCATTTTTTGCCGGAGGGCAGTAATGCCCATCAGCCACTCGGAGCCATCAAGGCTATGATCGAATTTTCGAGCCGACTCCTTGGTGAAGACTTTCGGTCGCCCTGTCGGAACAGCATCTGTGGTTGGTTCTGGGCATTGACAGCTGGGCGACAAGTAGAGTGAGGAGGCCACGAGGCTCAGATATATGCCCAGGCCCAAAGCTACAACACCGGAAGCGAGCAAGGGTATCTTCCTAGCTCTGAAAATAGTATTGGCAGTTTCGAGTGTGCCCGGAGGAACTGGAGCAAGGGTCGGGGTCGGTTTTGCACGGCGAGGTGAGTACGTTTTGGCAGGGTTGATTCTGTGTCATGGTGAGTAACGGAGCATGTATGGGATTGCGCTGTAAGATAGAACCGACGATCGTGAAGGCTTTGAAGCCTGGTTCGCCGGTCGAGTTGAAGCTGCTCGTTGCAGAATTGGGGGTAGGCTGGTAGGCAGTCTCCGACTAGGGCACCTAGCCCGGGTTGCAACGTGTATCATTGGTCGAATTTGCTCTCGAAAACGGCAGGCGAGTAGATATAGGCGTTCAGACGACGTTGTTATTTCCTATCGCTTCGTGGGATGATGCTTCCAACAGAAAATAACCTTGGGCGTTGTCCGTGAGTTGTCCCCATATCAAGTTATGACCAGTGGTGTTTGACCAACCGACGTCTCGGGGCTGACCTGTGTGTGTGTGGTATGTAGAGGTTGTTACCGGAGATCTCAATTATCCGCTGTGGTTTGTCAACCTAGAAGTACCTTAGCTGCCTGAGCTTGTAGCTGGGTGGGGTTTACCATAGAGTGGGGCCGGACATCAACACTGGCATGTGGGCCTGGTCGTGCCATACTCCCCTGTGGCCTGTGGCCTTTAAATCTCCGACTGCCCTCCCGTGTACCTTGGCTGGCGAGAGGGCAAGATGTCCGAACGTATAGCAGTGCCAAGCCGTTCGGAGACGGAAGGATTGTTGAACACACCCGCATAGCAGAGCTGGTCTTGTCCACGGCTATTCCGCTAGTATAGTCCTCCTAACTTCCCTCTTGCACATCGACTTGGATTGAATGATATACAGCATATCGATACATCTATAGGCAGAGCCATTGTCACTGTTTCGAGTTTCACTCACAAGGCCATATCTCGGCAGTATCATGCTCTCTTGTTCAATAGCAAAGTTGACAACGATGCTCCTCTGGCTCCCAGAACACCCCTAGTTATAATCTGATAAACTAGGCTGCTACTTCTCTTTACCCTCGGAGTTCCGACGTAACTGAAGAATGTCACTGAGCTTCAACCAACCTTTCGCACCCCATCCTGCCATTCCCTGCTCTACGTGTGGCCTTATTGTGGCGTACCATGAAAATGCTCTTCGGTCCATCTCGAGAGGCGTTAGGTTGCTCCAGCTTTCAAATAGTAACCTGAGAGCCCCCAGGAGCAAGCCCAAGTTTCGGAGTCTCTCGGCTTCAGCCTCCGGCTTGCTGAGCTTCTTTCCCTTGGCCCTCGATGTATTTCCTTCTAGACCGCCCTCGCCGCCCCCTCTTGTTGCGCTGTTATCATAATGGTCAGAGGAAAAGCTCTTAAGCAGATACATTCGAGCCGATTCCGGGCGATATATTGAAGCCCCGACGACGTCGTGGTTCCAATCGTTTGGGGTTCGCGCGCTGCCGCTCTCGCCCGGTCTATCGTTAGTACTCTGGAAGCCAAGTGCCCAGAGAGCTACGTCGTCACACCCGACCTCGCTTTGGGGAACACGTAGTCTTTGGGAGAGCGCCTCCGTAACGACATTCCTCATGAGTCTCCAGCGATCTGGGCCTAACATCTCGCCCCCAAACCACCTGCTCAGCACGACTACGACGTCAACGACGCCGGCTTCTCTCATTAACCGTAGGATGAACTCGCCGCAACCAGTTTCTCCATCGTCCTCACACGCCTCGTGCACTTCCCCCATCCCCGCCACTCTGCCCTGCTTCGGCACTCGGTATGCCCAAGCGTTATGTGTTGCCGTCTGTAGATGTGGCTCGGACAAGAGCAGTGAGTGGACAAGAGCAGACACCTGTCCACTATCCTCAACACTCGTAACTCGCGCAACAAACGTCGAGGACTTGAACGTGATCTGACGACTAGTGGACCACGGCAATGTCGTCGAAGCGGCGTTGCCACGCCCTTGCAGCGTCACGCCTGATGGGCCCGATGTCACCCGGGGTACGGTGCCCGGAGTGCCATCAGACCTTACCGGGACCACCGTCTCGTCGGTCTCCAACTTATATTCACCCCTCTTGAGGACGGCTATCGTCCGGCCCATGATGTTGACTTTTGGTTGCCCTTCGCTCCACGAACCGTCCTCGCCAGAAGCCCTAGCCAGCCCAATTCCGACAGCCTTGGTCCTGGCATTTGCGCTAGTGACAGCCTGGGCTAGACTGAGGCGGCTCGATAAAGGCTGCACAGGCATCGTGTAACGAAGAAGTTCGAGAACGAAGGCCAACATTAGAGGTGCCCGATTTGTATAGATAGACGCCTCTGCCATCTCCTCTTCGTTCGTGACGACAGGAAGGGCTAAAGCGTCCTCCTGCTCCTTTACACCTATACCCGCAGCCTCAGAATCACTGCTGTTATGCTGTTGCTTAGCACGTTTATCGCTGGCGTTGTTGAGCGAGTCCCCGGCTCTTTTAGTACTTGGACGTTTCGAATGCGTCTTGAAAGCTGTGAGAAGAGATCTGGCCGTCTTGGCATCTCCTAAGGCACGCTCCACTAGGTCAAAGGGAGCCTCATTTATCTGCTGTATGCTATCGATAAAAGTATAAGCTTCTGATAATCAAGGAACTGAGTAAAATACTCGAGGCACATACCTTCGAAGGCCTACGGCCTGTAGGGCCTTCACCTGGCCCATGGCGACCATCATCGATACTCCTTTCCGGGAGGTGATAACCCTCAGGAGCTCTTGGAGATCTTGCTGTGACGCCATTTGAATAGTTTCCTGTCCGAATAACGTTGCACTCACTCGTGCGGGCCCCGACCCCCCTTCGTGGCGTCTAATGGGGTCTTTTGCCTCGATACAATCATTAACACCAGAGATGAATGTTTCTCTCGTTCGGACGGACACAGTATTACTTAGCTGCAGAAGGAAACAAAAAGAACCAAAAAAAATAGGTTTGATCGTTCAAAAAGGACGTGAAAATACAGGGTAGTAGACGTGATGGCGCTCGATCTGTTAACCCGGTGCGAAGGTTTAGTGAGAGAAGTGTGATGTGGTTTAGGTGAAAGTTGACATTGATGAGGTAATGCACGCATTACGTTGGAATACCCTGGGCAGGTGTACCTGTGTGTCGGGGAAAGGAGGGGCTATACCAGTAAACCCGACTAACAAGCAACATCCCAAGTAAACATCAAAAGATGGCCCTTGATATTTTCTATTTCAGTTACCTACTGTCCTGCAGTTTCCACCAGCGGCGAGACCTTGGCACGATATATGGCGTAATTGAGCTAGCCCAGAAATCACCTGATGGCACCTTTCATCATCTCAAGAGAACCATCGCCAGGGCTACGAGATATTCGAGTATCATGCACGGCTTCATCAACAGCTGGACAGGGCCTGACAATGTTTAATACGTTATTTGGCTTAGGCTTGAGCAACCTGCTACGGCTGCATACACGTCGTTTAGTGACCCAAGCGGCTAGTTATGGATTATGACTACCTCTAAGTCGTCACACCCGCCCCTCGAGTAAATATCGCGAAGAAACAACTGTTTTCTATGCCATGTAACCGGGATCCCGCCACGCCGCTTCTAGAATATGGTCTCTTGGGTTTGTTTTTTTCTTCCTTGGGAGAGGGGTTTCTTTTTTGTTGCATGCCTCAGCCGTGTAGTCACGACATACCCATCACAACTCTTCCTCTTCCGTATTCGCATTCATAGTCGACATACCTGTCGCGCTAGGTTGCGTGGCGGTACCGCGGTTCAGGATATCATCGAATCCTATGTTTGAGCTGTCAGGCTGTGCCTGTACCTGGCTGTCCCCGGCGGTGATGCTCGGGCGATGCTTTTTCAAGGGGCTTCCGATCGTTGTCTCTACCGTCCCATCGTGAATGGAGTTCTGATTAGCGCTCAGATCCCCTTGACCATTGCTTGCGGCGGTGGAAGGATTCGTCAATAAACTCGCAAACAGACCAGACTGAGCGGCGGTGCTCGCGGTGCCTGCGTTTCCAGAGCGGTCAGGTTCCGACGAGTGTGCCCTCTTGAGCTATTCAGCTAAAGTCAGAATAATGCCTCACGTAGGACAGCCAGTATAACATACGTGAATACGGTCTACCCCATCAGCAAGCTCCCCTTGAAACTTAACGTCCTCGGGAGCAAGCTTGTTATCGACTTCCTTCTCATCGATATCCTGCATCTTCCCAATGAGCTCACTCTCATCGTCATCATCGTCGCTATCGTCGTTAAGAGCTCCCCCCACGTTGCCGTTGCTCTTCTTCCGGGCTTTTCGCCTTCTAGTGGCCTCGGTATCTTGGTCTCTGAAGGCCGAAAAGCCAACAGTTCCCGATGTTTTCAACGGCCCGAGGTTGGAAAAATCCAGCTGTCCAGACCGTCGCTTGGCCGACCCCGGCGTTGCCTGTGCCGCTTTGGAGGAAGCAATGATTCCGATCTTCTGGAGTTGTCCTGCATGAGTTATTAGCCTTGTGCAAACCAATCTTCCGATTTGAGGGGGGGAGGAGGGGGTGTGACTTACTCTCTCCACGGTAGAAAAATGTGAAAGAGGCATATGGCTTATCCGGGCCGTCGATCCCTGTAACAGTCTGGGTGCTGATGGTTTTTGGGTCCAGTGTCTTAGGCTTCGCAAAGCTTGTCGTGTGCTCAACGTCAGCATCAACACCGCCTTTTCCATTACCTTGATTACTCGATGCCGTGTCGTCATCGTCGTCGTGGGCGTCAAACTGAGGCGAGTATTCTCCCTTCTTGATTTCGCCCGAAGCAAGCACGCGGAACATGAGCACCTTGATCTGACCGGTTGCTTCAGGGATCTCATCATCATCGGACAGGGAATCAGAGTCATCCTCGCCAAAGACGGCTTCAACGGGGGAGCCATCGTCGGCGCCGTAACGGAGGGTGTCCCTAGGGCCGTTGGGACCCTCTTCAACCTGCATGCTGGTAGCACCGGTTGTAGCCTTTTGGCGTCGACGCCGCTTCTCGAACTTTTGCCGGCGACGTTCCAGCTTCTCCGCGGCATCGTGGCCTTGCAGGTCTAGGCCGTTTAGCCAGCGCTCAAGTCCGACCTCACGGAAGAGGAACTCGCGCTCGGCGAGGCCACCGCCTTCTGAGTCTGGAATTTGGACCCAACGGCTATTGACCCATGTCTCCTCGCCGGGGCGCAGAAGTGTAGCAACCTCTTCCTTGGATCTGCCATCGAAATAAATGTAGGCGGCTATCGTCTCGTTTTCGGAGTTGGTCATAGGGATGTAGGGGTTGACGACGCCGGAGAACTTGGAAGGGCCATGGCCAGCTGTGGGGAGGCCACCGACGAACTGCGGCTTCGGGTAAGGGTTGGTCTCGGTTGACTTGGGCGTGGAGTACGGGATGGGCAAGCCAGGGGTGAGGAGAGTAATGGAGATTGCGAATTTAGCAGGCTCGGGCTTGTTGGAGTCGGGATTGATGCTCGGCTGAGGGACCGGGATGTAGGTGCTGATTCGTGACAGACGCGACTGTTTCTGCATGCCATGCTCGGGGAGAGGCGCGCCGTTGGCATGTATGCTAACAGCAATACCTTTGAAGCAGGGCATGATGGCGAGGCGGACTGGAGCGCGTGGGCGCGCCGCACTCGGAGGATTGATGGAGGTCGGAGACGGACAAAGCAAGTGCGCGGGCGAGACGGCGATCAGGCAGGGGTGCGGAGGCGGAGGCGGAGGTTGAATATATCGGGAGAGGAGATATCGAAAGAAGTCCGGAAGCCCAGAGAATTCGGGGCAGTGGGACGCGGAGGCCGTTGGTTCGCGTGACTCGACGAGTACCCGTGGCAGTGCACCGAGGGTTAGTGGGGTGTATCCTTTATTCCTTCTTCGTCTTCTCCCGCAAGGGTATGGTAGTCGTTGGTGGAAGGACGCAGAAAGCGTTATTTTTTTCTTCTCGGCAGGCAGGCTGCGTTCAGGGAGAGGAGGATATGCGTGGTTGCAATGGCCAGTGGTGTAGCAAAATAGAGCAGCGGTCGAGTTGAGGTAGAGATTGCTCTTCCTCACCGTCTCTGAATCGACCTGGACCGACTCGGGGGCGTTGAGTGGATCTTGGGCGACTGTAGGTCGACTGGACCAACAGTGGTGTACGGTAATGTAGCAAGGTAGGTACAGAGCACTGCGTAAGTTATGGGACCTTGGGGCGGGGAGGCCTAGGAGCGAATGGTGCGCATGATTGCCCCGATGACTGGGGTGCCAGGTACTGTACAGGCTGGGTTGAGAGAGAGACCGAGAGCATAGAGCTGGGATAGCGCCTTGTTGCCGGATCGGTAGGACCACCGAAGGAGAATTCAAGAACTGACGACGTTAATTGATGAGGCTGAGAAAGTGTTGGTGGCTACGCATTGGAGTAAGGCAAGGCAAGGCAAGGCAAAGCGAGGTAAAGCAAGGCAAGGCAAGGCAAGGCGGAGATTGTAAGGTAAGTGTGCGTAGTGTCAGTGAGTGCTGGCAAGGTAGTCAAAGGCAAAGCTAGGACAAGGTCCTTCTTTGTCCACGATGACGGCTGCGGCGGTGTGCGGGAGGAGACGGGCAAGAGGGTGAGGAGGGGTTGCTTGGGTTTGAGTACTCCTCTACTCTGTACATATGACAACTGACATGCACTGTTGTTGCGGGGGTAAGAAGAGGAGGGGCGAGAAAAATTCTACCGAGTGAAGTACCTTGGATGTGAGGTACATACTTAGATAGGTAGGCTGCGGTGGGAGACAAGGAGGGGAACACCGGCCGGACGCCAGCAGGGTACCTTGGGTGCCCAAGTTGCTAAGTGGGCACGGAAAATGACCTCCCCGAGCTTATCTAACTCGCGTCCACATCACCACATGCAACTGCAAGGTGAGCTCGGCGTAGTGTATACTGGCCGCCAAGCTCGCTTACCACCCGTCAACAAACTGCCCGACAAGTTTGCCCAGGGCCCTTTCTAACGACTCTTCTTATACAAAAAGAAAGGTACTTTTTACCCACTTCTCTGTGATGGTGAATCCACATCACTTGTGATTTGACTGTCTGCTTATCTGCCCAAAGACCGGTTGCGCGTCCTCTGCGAAACAAAATCATGTATTTCAGCTCAAACATTATCAAAAGCTTCGACTTCCTGATTTATGCTGACAGCACGACTTAGAGCCGTCACACTGTCATTGGTTTTTACCATGTCTGCAGCCTACCGTACCCTCCGGGCTATGAGCCTTACTGAACCCGCGGAAGAGCATGAACATATATCACCAAATCCTAACGATGATGCGATGACCTGCGCCGAACACTGCTGGAGCCTCCCTCGCTATAGCTCGTCCCAATGCCCGAGTCGCCCTTGTAGCTACCTCGTCCGTCGTCCTCCTCCTCATCATCCGCCTCGCCCCCGAGTGGGACCAAATCTTCCATACGGGGGCCCGCCTGTGCTTCCTCCTTGATTTCGGGTTCGTATCGCAACGGTGCCTGATTCCCATATGTGGGAAATGTCCTTGGCGCGTCCGATAGTTCCTCGACTCCACTGCCATCTTCTCTCTTGACTCCGCCGGCTCCCTTAAGAGACATCTGCTCCAACGCTTTTCTGGCATCAATGCGAGAGCCGGAGCCTGATCCCGACAGCCCCGACCACACCAGCCATGCCGCCGCCATGAATAGGACCTCCGACGTCCAGAACAAGAAAACGGCGAATGTAAGGGTTGTGAGACGGTAGTGGTACATCAGCCAGCGCAGTCCTCGGAGCTGGGCAGTCAGTGTTATCGAAGCATGGTACGTCTCGATGCTCTGACCGCCCTGTATCTCTAGATAGGCAGATGATGGCAGGGAGGAACCTTTAGCCAGCTCTACCCGCTCGGCCATGGGCACTGTAAGCACGCACGTTTGCGAATCCGCAAACAGGACATGATAGACGAGGAAGAGTATACGCGACGCGAGCGACACTAGCGGATCTTGATATGGGACAAGGGCTGGGCGTCGTGATGAGAACAGGACAGATTTGCCGTCGAAATGGCTGTAAGGCTCAGGGGGGATGTGAGGTTGAAGCTTGTCGTTCCCTGTCGAGAGGGCGTCGGCATCAAGGAGGTGGAGGGCGATCATGAAGTTGCCTCGATGAGTGTTGGCAGGCGAGCGAGGCATGGACAATGTGACAGACACATCATATTCCTGCTGCGTCCTCAGGGCAGCCGTTGGGATGACGGCCGTTCCGAAGGGGTTGGCTCCCGATCTAGGACAGGTGTTAGCCCGCAGCGTCCTATCTCGGCCTTTGTACGTGTAGAGTGGCAGGACAGAGCAACCTCACCCGTATTGAAGATGCACAGGGGCTGTCACCACTTGATCTGGTAGAAAATTGTGGAAAAAGAGGACCGATGCGATGGCGGCAAAGGGCAGTAGAAGAAGCGAGGTTCCCACGAGAAGGCTCACATTCACAAGCGTCCGCTGTGCGGTCTTGGACGTGGCCGCTCGAGATGCTTTACCCAGTACCTCCTAGTCGAGTTTAGAATCTGAACAGTAGTCATTGTAGCAGGGCATAAGAGAGAAAGAGGTTACCATTGAAGCAAGAGTCAGCCAAAGTCGACACTAGCCTGTCGTCGGCAAATTCAACAGCGGCAAGCAAGGTCCGAACTGTTCATGCGCATTTGGATTGACTACTCAAACGCGCGAAGTTGTCAAGGGTCGCCCTGTAGATTGATACAGCGTACTACGTATACACAATTCCGTATGCCTTGACGTTTGGGATAGGGCCCAAGAGCTGTCTATACTCGGGAAAGATCGATTGAGCCAGTTGCTGCGAGGCCGATCTCGGTGGGGTGAGGAGAAATGCGAGCTAGGCAAAGGGGAAGAATCTGTGAAGGCGAGGGGAGTTCGAGCTGAGCTACTGCATTCTAGTTCAGGCTGCACAATACCCGTAGTGTTGATCGGATACGTGTGGCTGGCACGGTCGTCGCCCTTCGCAACTGGAATTCACTGTGATTGACCGAGGTTGAACGCCTTGTGGCTTGTTAAGGGCCGATGCCCAACACACCGAAATGAAAGGTGCGAATAGTGCTGGAAACCCGATCTGATGGTTTTTTTTTTTCGAGAGTTCGGGTACCCGGCGCAGGGTGCAAGGAACACAATAAGAGTAATATGCAGTATGTATGTTTGATGACTCCTTCGTCGAAGCAGCTCAGAGCTAAGGTGCAGATACGCTTGACGGGACATCAGCAATTGGAAGGGATGACCCAGGTCTCGTCACATGCAACTGCACCCCTTAGGACACCATGTCATACATAGCAGGTGGGCCTTGGCTACTTCACTCTTTCACTTCAGGCCAAGGTACGTACATGCCAAATACCTAACCGCCCTTGCACCCTCTGTCTATGCATACGAAACTTTGGACACATAACATGCATTGGCACGGATTTTCTTCAAAACACGTACATGGGACAATTTTCGTCATTTAGACAGCATATAACATGGCGGCTCTTGTCCTTGTTACACATGTATCCGGTCGGGAAGAGAACCACCGATGCATCATGCGCTTATTGATATCATTCTCATAGAAACCTGAACTCCAAACTAAGAAGATTAAAAGGAATACAGCAGAGACAAATTCCGACGATTGTCAACTTCATGTCATGAACCTTCGTCAAGTTGGGCATCGTTGCTAGGTCTTGCTGCCCTTATGTTAATATTACCATGAGGACATCCATCCAGCACCTCTATCAACTGGCAGCTTATTCTAGCATGGTTGGAGATAGTTGCTCGGGACCAGTCCCATTCGCCCATTGCTTCCGTGTACCTCAGCTTCCCACCATCCGTCGTCTTGGTGACGCAGAACTGCAAGTAGGTCGCCCTTGGAGAAACCCAACTCTTCCGGGATGGCCGCCTGGTACATGTATAGAGCTCTCGCTGTCATCTGATTAGCACAGGGCCCTTCTGATATCTCGACAAGAGATGTCTCATCCTATACTCACCAAAGTGCAAAATAGGCCTGCCATCTCTAGTGTACTGCCGAGACGGGTCTGCCACACTCTTACTACGTTGCCTCGAATCGCCTTGTCCGGGTGGCCCCCCTCCCTCGTAAAGACCCATAGCTCGGTTACTGGAACTTGTGCCGGGACGGTTCCCGCCTCGACCGCGGACTGATCCGAAGTTTTCATCACCTAGAGGTGCGAGCTGAACCGCCATATCATTAGCAACATGGCTACTGCCGGGCCGCATCTTCTCCAAATAAGGAGCCGGAGACGCTGTCCTCGACATATTGCTTGGTGAGTTCTGTCTGTAATACGGTTGTTCAGACCCCCGTCTTGGAGTACTGCTCATCTGTGATGCGCCTCTACCCATTGATCCCTGGGGATTAGGCGATGCAGACCGATACTCACTACGGGAATCATCTGCCGGCCCAGTCCTCGGAGAAGCGCTACGTGGCGAGCTACGATAGCCGCTCCGGACATCGTCCACTGGTGCTGCTCTCGGTGAAGCGCTTCGGATTGGAGCCGGGGACGCTGCTCTAGGGACATCACTCCCTCTTGTCATTGGCCGGGATTGCCCCCCCCCCCCGTAGCTTGATCCAGGGCGCTTCGCCGGGCTGAACATGCTGCGAGTTTGGTCGGCGAACTTCTGCGATGTCTCCTTCATAGCCTTTGCCGTTACTGCCTGAGGGGCACCCCGAGTCTTTGAACAACTTGCTGATCGTAAGGAGGCGGTGTTCCTCGAAGACCTGCAGTCACAGCGCCGTTGCTTGCAGCTGATGGGACCGACCTAGAAAATGGCTGCTGACCAGGCGTTGGAGTAGCGATGCCGTGGTAACGGTCTGCCGAGACTCGCACGCTCGATTGTTTACCGACACCAACGCCCTTGAGCTCGGCGAGGGCCAAGGCGATTGGATCCATCTCAATCTGAGAGGGTTGTGCATTTGAGCCTTTTCTCTTTTCCAGATCCGGGGTCGTGACCGAGAAGACGTTCTGCCCAACATTCAGCGCAAGACTGGCGTTCGCATCAATTGGCTCCGGGCTAACGGTCGATCTCTCCCCGAGCAAATGTGATGGTTGTTGCGTTGGCAACTGTGATCTCCGGGAGGGGCTTCCTTGGGCGGATACGGGATGCCAAGTGTTCCTGTTCGCTGGAGGGCCCTGAGGGTCTTTCATGCTCTTGCGGCGGAAGGGGCTATGATTCTGGAAGAAGCCGCTTCTCTTCTTGAGAACCTGCTTGTCTGACGCTAGCGGTGGCGCGTTGCCTTGCTCTTGCTTGATGGGAGATACTTTGCCACTCGGCGGCTCTTGGCTCGAGAGCGAAGTGGGGTTCGAGTAGTCGCTTTGAGAATCACGGCTCGACGGCCTGGCTGAAGGGGGATGTGAGCTACGTTCGGATGGGGGCCCGGTGCGGCACAGCATCGTCATGCCGTCGAGAGGATAAGGGTCGTGGGGGACTGCGGCAAACGAGCTATGCTGGCTCACGTCGAGAGGTGGCCGGCTCTGTTGTTGTTGTTGTTGTTGCTGTTGCTGTTGGCTGTGCTGATGGGTAATCGGACCTGCCTGGCGCGGCTTGTCCATTGCTGGTGGCATCCTCTGGGTTGTCAGTGGTACTTCACGAGCAGTGGCTGGAACAATCTCCCTACGGCCCGCCTCCTGGAGATAGCTTTTCGAAGAAGGGCTTGCGTCCCTGTGGCCTAATTCTGGTGCAAAGCTTCTGAAGGAGGGACTGGCATCCGTTCGCGCTGTGTCTGGAGCTGGGTGCCTGGATGTCGATGGGCTCGCATCTTTGCGCACCATATCAGGGACAGTAGCGCTTTTTGAAGCTACCGGGCCTGGTTCTTTGTGTCCAAGATCCTGGGCAAGGCTTGAGTTTGGGTCATGGTGTGATTCATAAGTCGAGGGTTGGGGAGAAGATGACCGGAACGCTGGATTGATACTCCTGGGAAATTGTGCGACCGAGTAGTTGTCGTCATCAGACGATTCTGATTGCGCATCGTTGATGTCTCCCCGACAGAAGTTGATGTACTTCGGCGGATCTGGGATCTCCTGACCGGTACCTTGCTCCTTGATGAAGCTAACAATATCCGTCTCGACATCCATCTTCTCGAGCGATAATCGAATTTTTTCACAGGAAGCATCGTCGCTGACGCAGACTGTGGAAGATATGTTGGCAAAAGTCCAAAGGCTGCTTTTGGTAAAGTCAAGACGCTCCTCTTCCAAGTCCTGAAACTTATCGGCCGCAGCCTTCCACTCTCGATTCCATCTTGCGGTTGTGTCTTCGAGAGCTTTCACCGCGTTTTCGTACTCTGTATTGGAGGTTGCGACACTGATCTGTGTTTTCTCTAGCTTGGCTTTGTTTTTGCGCTCCTCCTGGCCCATGACCATGTGACCCTGGGCGAGGTAGCCTTTGATCTTGAGGCACTCTTGCTCGAACCGATCTCGAGTCTATTGGTTGGGTCAATAAGCCATTTCGCTAGAGGAACGATTACAGTGTTTGAAAGCTCTGAGGGAATGACTGACCTTGTTTACGTGCTGTGTCTGTTGAATCTTCGTCTTGAGAATCTTCTCAATACCGTTCTGTACGATCTTCCTTCTTTCCTTCATGCCGCCAGCGAATGCAGCAAGTGGTTCCTCTAGCTCCGTCTTCATCTGCGCTGCAATGCTTTGATGTTGCTTTGCCATTGACTCAACTTCGCCTCGGACGGTGTCTAGTGACGTTTTCAAGCTCCCCGTCTCGTGGGACCCTAGGGATTTGCGGCATAACGAGAGTAGCTTTCGGGCATATTCGTCTTCAATCGTGGCTCGAGCTACGCCATTAATTAGTCTTTACATGTCTTGAGTACCATCTAGCACGTCTGTTGCTACGTACCACTGTAGAAGGCCTTCAGCTCATCGCATGTCTGCTTAGCAGCGAGCATACGGTCGAGGAGGGGGCCAACACCGGCATCTTCCTTTCCCCAAAAGTTGTTTGCGACTTTCGATGGTCAGCTTCAAAATTCAATTCTCCGGTTACAGCTGCAGTATTGACGCACAAGATAAAGCCACGGAGGGCCCCTCCATTGTTGTTGCAGGCATCTCGCCTGCGAGAGTTGTCGAATCGCCTTGTAAATAGGAGGTATTGTTTGAGAAGGTAGGCGTCAGTCTGTGAAATAGCGTAGTCGTATCAGCAATAATTGGGTGTTCGTGGAGAACTCCAGATTCATGCGCGATGCAAAGGTGGTCACTCTTCCTAACTTCACCCCTTGGAATCTTGGGGATTGATGAGAAGCCTCGTTGGCAAGGATAGCCGATGGTCAGGCAGGTAAGGTGAGGTGATGTTGTTTGGATGCGTTGCCGAGTAACGAGTTTACCAGCGCCTATGACGGATGTCGGAGGCGTAAGGTACAATAATGTCTGTGCTGCACGTGAGGATGCAAGGGTGTGAGAGTGTACCTACTCTGTCCAGTCCAGGTAATGGTGCGAAGCAAGCCCCAGTGTGGCGGCAGGTAGAAAAGCTTCGGGTGGATGGTGGCTTCTACCCTTATCGACCTAGTCGACTTTTGTCAGGTGTCACTTTCAGCTACCTCCCGCTGAAAGGACTCTGTGGCTTGCAGTACGTACCTAAGGGTAGCAGGCAAGGCAGTTTCTCTCAGTTTTAGAAATCCAATCACGTGCTATCCAGGGTACCTCTGAGAAGCTCATTAACCCCACTATGCCTCAGGTACATATCTGCCCAGCCGTGCCAACACACCAACTTCCTAGGTACCTAGAGTGTGTTCTCGGCACTAGTCCAAGCAGAGCGGAGCTTCCAGTGTTGGAGTGTGGTGCACCCAGCGCTTTCCCATCCCAACTGATACCCTGCCCTTCTTGCCTCACCCCAGAGCGCCTTACCTAAGCAGCCTAGGTGCTGGACCTACCTCTTCAGTCCCACTGTCCTTCTGGTGCAGGTTCAGTCCACGTCCAATCCCCTGCCAGCGACCCGAGCCTCCACGTCCTCACGTAGGTCAATCCGGCCAGAGTCTAATTTCTTCATCTCTTACGAAGCTGTCTAGCATCACACGACAGACGTTCCCGATCAACGTCGCACCCTTTCCCGTTTCTCTCACCCTTCCTTACCTCTCCCTTATCCCTCGGCAGTCATCAGGCTACTCTGGAAACCTCCGCATCGATCCTCCGCCTGCAGCTAGGCGAGCATTTTGAGTGCTTTCTCGATTGACCTGGCTCAAGTGCCAGGTCCCCTCCCCTCCTCTCTTCAAATACTCCTACCACCAACCGTCGCCACCCCCATCGCATCAAATTCGACCAGAGGCCAAGCCGTATCCCTTACTCGGCGCATTCGCTTTTTGTTAGCGTCTTCGCTCACAGTCGTCTCTCGCCGTTCGTCACAACGCGCCAGCGCTGCTCTGCATAGCTGTTGAACCACTCGTCGTTCATGCGGACGTCCTCGGTCGCGGTAACAATCTTCGGCGGCACGATTTAGGTAGCCTCAGCGAGGAAGCTGGTCTGGTCTGGTCTATTTGTAGGACGGACGACTCCGCCTTCCAACCTCTTCCCCCTCGAAGACGCAATACTATCCCATGGTCCCACAATCAAGATCGGGATCATTCTCTCCACATCCTTCACAAACACTGCAGATAGGAGCTGGGCACTCGCCCCATCCATCGCAATCTTCTGCGTTGAGTGCGGGCGCAAGTCCTAGTACGAGTAGTCCGACAGGGCCCAACCCCCTGGTCAAGATCGCTGTTGCCCAAGTTTATCTCCTTCTCGGCGCCATCAAGGAGGACAAGGACCGCGCAAAGTGGGAGACACAAGCAGAACAATTACAAAAGGTACAAAGCCCCTCCTTTCGCGTCTTTCCGCAGCCACCCACGCTGAGTCCTACTACCAAGTTCTATGCTGACGCGCCTCCCATCTTACTATAGCTCATCGATGAACACGGAATGGAGGTTTTCACAAAGTATTTTGCGCGCCTCGTCGCCGTTCATGCCGCCCACATCTTCCATGGCCAGCCACGGCCCGGGGCGAATGGCAACTTCCATCTTCTCGTGGCCGAAATGCAGAAGATCTCCCATGACGTTAACCAGGCCAACAAGATTGCCGAATCTATCGAGACGGGTACAGAAGACATATTCCGCGACTTCGACATGTCTACTTTCATGGAGGCATTCAAGCTAGATGCTCTGGAGAAAACGATACTGGCGTTGGCCTTCAAAATGGGATCGAGGTCCGACCTCAAGACAAAGGGTAGGTTGCTTTGAGCTCGCTACGGTTTCTTTCCTTTCATGCTAATATGTCTTCCCAGCTGACGCCATTCTGTCCACGAATTTCCCTACATTCGTCAACATTCTTGCTCGACGCGAAATAGAAGAGCATGCGGATTTGACCGACCAATTCATCGCTATACTCGTCGACCGCTTCATCCAATACCAACCACCTAACTTCAATGCTGCATCTAAGGCCGAACTTGCCTACAAGGTACAAGCAAGGTGGCACGGAGATCAAGCACCGCCGCCGTCTGAAGTGCTTGCGGCGCTTGATCTGGTTAGGGTGCTAGCCGACAAACCTCCGAATGCACTTGCTACTTACATCCAAAGAACCGGCGGTGATTTCACGCGAGACGAAGAAACCTGTGTATCGTATCTGCAGAACCGTCCGCAGAACGTCCAACTCAGTGAAGAGCAAGTCTCCATTGCCCTCACTTACAGTACGATTAGCCAGACACCGATGTATGATCCTTCGATTCTCGCCGCATCTCTACGTCGAGTCCTTCCCCCGTCCTTTCGGTGGCAAGACGTGGTATCGTATTTTGATCAAAGATCCGCCCGAATCTCCTCTCAGCAGTTCCTGCGTCTTTATAATGCGTTGCTGCCGATTGCACAGAATGATCAAACGTTTGACATACAAAAGTTGTGGGGTGGTAACTGGGAGCATCCGGAAACTCAGCTGTCTTTTATTTGCGCATTCGCCTCTCTACAGCCTGATCAGCTGGATGCTAGCACTATCCCGGGTCTGGTACCAACGTTGACTTTGGACACATATGCGCAGTCACCTCCGGAGGTTCAACAACGTGCAGCGTTCGCGGTCAAGCATGCCCTAGTCTCGGTCGAGGCGCTATCAGCCGTATTTCATGTTGCCCTGCATTCCGTACACGCGTCGCAGAGCGTTGAAGCCAAGCGCCTATTTCAAGAGGTCGTAGTGCCCAACTTGGACATCTTTGTTGTCTCTGCATTTGGAGTACCAAAGCCTTGGCCGACGATGGCTGTGGATACACTGAATTCTCTCTTCGAAAGCTTCCTATACAAGCGTTCAACGGAATATGATTTCGTCCTCGACAGCTTATGGAAAAAGGACAAGGAATGGGTGATCCAGCGGTTGGTTGAGGCCCACGCTATCAAGCCAACCGATCTCCCCCTGATTTTCGAGCACGCGCTAAAGCACAAATGGCTCGATGAGCTTGTGTATCTGTCCAACGGCTTTGGTCTCGACCTCGCAGCCCTGGCACATGCTGAGGGCTACCTAGACTTGGTTAGCTGGGCTCGCCGCAACTCTGAGAGAAGCAACGAGATTGCGCGATCCCTATTGCAGTTCTTGCTAATCAAAGCGAACCTCGAATTACAATATCAGCGCCCCCCGGATGGCCAACCCGCAATCAAGTCCAGCACAACTCTTCAAGTGAGGACGGTGGCTGCTTTTCTGCAAATCTTGGAAGATTTCTTGCCAAAGACACCCCTACAGGATCTCATCATGGTGCAAAGATCCTGCATCACTGTTTACCCAAGATTGATTAACTATGGCGAGGGTTTCGACGACATCATCGATGCCAACGGCAAAGACGGAAACGCCTTGCCTGCTGCCGCCAACAGCAAGATGGAGGAGCACTACAAGAAGATGTATGGCGACGAGATCCAAGTCCGCAACATTGTCGAGATTCTCGATCGGTACAAACACTCTCGCGATCCACTGGACCAGGATGTGTTTGCTTGCATGATCCACGGCTTGTTCGACGAGTACGCCCACTATGTCGATTATCCTCTAGAGGCGCTTGCTACAACTGCGGTCCTGTTCGGCGGCATCATATCTCATAAGCTCATTTCTGATCTGCCGCTCAAAATTGGGCTTGGCATGATCCTAGAGGCTGTAAGAGACTATCTACCCGAGGATTCGATGTACAAGTTTGGACTTCAAGCTCTGATGCAGCTGTTCTCTCGCTTCCGGGAGTGGCCTGGCTTCTGTCGGCAATTACTGCAAATACCTGGCCTTCAAGGCACTGAGGCCTGGAAGAAAGCTGAAGATGTCGTCAGAGACCATGAGGAAGAGCTTGTCCGGTCGCGCAACGGCGTTGCGACGCCTGCTCATGGTCCCTCTTTCAACAGCGAGCCACTGACGAATGGCAATGCGACGGAAACCAGAAGCACAGAGCGCCAACCACCACCGTTCACATCCATTAATGCGTCAGAGCGTTCTCCTGGAGTCGATTGTGAAGAGCCTTCGAGCGATACACAGGGGAAAATCCAGTTTGTCCTCAACAACCTGACCGAGACGACTCTTCAGACAATGTGTCAAGAACTGCGGGACATCTTAGAACACCGCTATCAGCAATGGTTTGCAAGCCACCTTGTTGAGGAGCGAGCTAAAATGCAACCCAATTACCATCAAGTGTATCTTGAGCTGGTCAAGCTTTTTGAAGACAGGGTGTTATGGAGCGAGGTCTTGAGGGAGACGTATGTCAGTGTCGCCCGCATGCTCAACTCGGAGGCCACGATGCAGAATTCGACCGAGCGCTCTCACCTCAAGAACCTCGGTGGTTGGCTGGGTCTCCTGACCTTGGCACGTGATAAGCCGATCAAGCACAAGAACATCGCATTCAAGCAGTTGTTGATTGAAGCCCATGACACCAAGAGGCTTATTGTTGTTATCCCTTTCGTCTGCAAGGTTCTCCTACAAGGCGCCAATTCGACCGTGTTTCGGCCACCAAATCCTTGGCTAATGGATATTATCCATCTGCTCATCGAGTTGTATCACCATGCCGAGCTGAAGCTGAACCTCAAGTTCGAGATTGAAGTTTTGTGCAAAGGCCTCAATCTTGACCACAAAAGTATAGAGCCCTCTGGGGAGATCCTAAACCGCACGACTGTTGAGGACACTCAAGACCTACTTCCTCAAGACACATTGGAGACATTTGAAAACCTTTCTCTGAACGGTATTTCCACCGGTGTGACAGCTGGTCTCTCGCCTCAGGTCATCGCCGCTTCCATTCCAGACCTTGGTCCTCTTATTCACATACCACCCACGAACGAGATGGTGGTTACGGCAACACGATTGCATGAGATTGTCCGCACTGCTCTCACCCGGGCTTTACAAGATATCATTCAGCCCGTAGTAGATCGATCAGTTACGATTGCTGCCATATCCACACAACAAATGATTCACAAAGACTTTGCGACTGAACCGGACGAAAACCGAGTCCGAACATCGGCAATCAGCATGGTGAAGGCGACGGCTGGAAGCCTAGCACTCGTAACGTCCAAGGAGCCTCTAAGAGCCAACTTCACCAACTATATGCGAAACCTGTCTAATGATCTCCCGCAGGGCCTACCTGAGGGGACAATCATTATGTGCGTCAACTCGAACTTGGATCTCGCCTGCAACATTATCGAAAAACAGGCGGAGGAGAGGGCTGTTCCCGAGATCGAGGAGATGATTGAGCCCGAGCTGGAGGCACGACGTCGTCACCGTCTCCAACGGCCCAACGAGCCATACGTGGATGCCTCACTCAGTCGATGGGCCTGGACTATTCCCAACCCATTCAAGCTATCGCCTAGTATGGGTGGCTTGAACCCCGAACAGATGGCTATTTATGAAGATTTTGCCCGCCAGCCTCGCACCACGACATCAAACGTTCCGTCTCATGTGCCCTCGACTTCTGACGCAACCCGTTCGCTCGCCAACGAGGTTCTGCAAGATCAGTTTTCTACGGTGCCAAGTCTGGGTGCTGCTACGGAGGCACCGGCAGTGCAGCACCTCGGCTCCCAGATCCAACAATATGCTCCGGTTCATAACGGAGCAATGGCTAACGCGAGACCCCAAACATTTCAGATGGATGGCCGCGCGTTGATCGACCGTGTTCAAAAGCTGCTCATGGAGCTCCAGCGTGTTGCGACCGAGGCCCGCGAGGAGCATTTCACAGACTTGCCTCGTCCTCATCCTGTTCTTGATGTTGTTGACGCCTTGGTCCAGCACATGATCAAGGCATCACAGACTTCCGAAGAGTTCGCGATCTACGCAGCCGATCAGATCATTCAGCTTATTTTTACTCAAGTTGAGGACAACCTAGCCTTGGAGAGCTTGGTTCACGTTCTCGAGACTTTGAGGAAGATTTCAGGCCCGACCCTGAACAACCGCGTGACCGCTCTATTCCGTCAGCAACCTGGATCGACTTTCCTGACTCTACCCCTCCTTGCTGCTCTGCTGCGCACGGATCTTCTCGACTGGAGAAACATTGACCTTTCAATGTCCAAGGTGCTACAGCAGAGAAAAGAAGGTTCGCTGGAGTTCTTGGAACAGATGGTAGATCTGACTCTTTTGGGTAACCGACCGATGGCACTCTATGGAGACTTCGTCCGAACACTTGAGGCCGCTTGGTCCTGGATACAGGACGAGCCAGACTCGACAATCGGGCAGCGCTTGAAGGCAAAACTTTCTGGCCAAACACTTCCGCCGACTGCCCAACAGGAGGACGACAGCGCTGTCCAGCAGGACCAGATGGAGTATGTTTTCGACGAATGGATTCATCTTTGCAACAACCCCAACGCATCAGAGAACTCTGCAATTTTGTTTGTTCAACAAATGCAGATTAGAGGCGTAGTCAAGACCAAAGATGATCTCTTCCTGTTCATCAGAATCGCGACAGACATGTCAGTGGACAGATTTGAACACTTCCTCCATACGACAGGAACTTTGACAGACGCTTTCCTCGCCATTGATGCTCTGGCCAAGATGATCAACACCTTCATCAGGCTACATGACGAAACGGAGCCCGCTTCAACGCCCAGTCGTGCAGTGTATTTGGACTCCATTCTGGCATTTGTCACCCTTGTTCTTAACCATCACCACGTAAAGCGCGCGGAACACTTCAATCAAAGAGTCTTCCATCGCCTATTGTCAGTTCTCCTGTACGAGATCAACTCAACCGCCGAGCAGCTTCCCGAGACCGAGAGGTCCGGATTATTTCTCAAGTTCGCCGCCAGACTAGTTGATCTCGGGCCAAAGTTCCTTCCTGGCTTTGTATTCGGATGGCTTTCTCTTCTTCAGCACCGCGCATTCCTGCCTACCATCATGAAGGATCGTGGCGGATGGATCGTTTTCACCAAGCTCCTGCAGCTGCTTCTAGAGCATGTCGGAGAGCAGGTCAAGGCGATTGAGCCTTCCAATGTGGCGCGAGAGATATATCGCGCAACGCTCAAGCTTCTCGTCATTCTGCAGCACGACTATTCTGAGTATCTTGCGGCTCATTCGCATCAGCTTACGTCCAGTGTGCCACCTCACTGCAAGCAGCTGCTCAACGCCATTCTGACAGCGAACCCAGCGGCTCATCCCAAGATGCCTGACCCGTCGTTCCCAGGGTTGCAAGTTGACCGCTTAGATGAGGTTCGGGAGTCCCCTGACAGCTTGGACAATTCTGCAGCTATCCTTCAAGACTTGGGCCTGCTTGAAGTCCTCGACCACGCGTTGCAAAACGGTCCCTCTGAAGACACTCTGGCCCACATCACTCGAGCCATCGTTGAGAGCCCGCGAGCCGACACTGGTTTCGGATATGTGCCTATCAATGCCAACCTGCCAGTGATCGAGGCAGTCACACTCCACGTCGGCAACTACGCTGTCGAACAATCGACGCAAAAGGGCACCGATGTCTTTAACCCGGCCTCACCGGACGTGGCTACCATCTCCCTGCTGCTCCATGAGCTATCACCCGAGGCGCGTTACTATCTTATTACCAGCATTACCAATCAACTTCGGTTTCCGAATGCCCACACCAACTACTTCAGTCGGGTTTTGTTGGAAATTTTCGGCCAGGACATGAACGACCCGGAGGAGACGGAAATCAGGCAGCAAATTATTCGAGTGCTTTGGGAACGCCTCATCGGATACTGGCCACAGCCATGGGGTCTCATGGTGACGGTTGTCGAATTACTCAAGAACGAGAAGTACATGTTCTTTGACCTCCCGTTCGTGAAATCAAATCCAGAGGTAAGTCATTTAGTTGAGAAACCAGTTCCGTTGATCTCCATTAGTGGCTAACGTAATATCTCTCAAGGTCATCGAACGATTCCACGCCATTCTGCAGCGCGCATAAGGGTTCGTGTGGATTGGTATAGGGCCTAGTAGTTGCGGTCACTTATGTCTATGGCTTGAGGATGATGGGTTGTGTATCTCGTGCTGACTGTTATTATCTTTGCAACGGTACAAGACGGGGAACCCACAGTAGACCAAGGATTTGAGGGGCTTCAAAATGGATAATTCGGCAGTGACTCGTAACTCAAGGCGTTCTAACACGGAGACTACGAAAAAGACCCTGTATTATTTATTGTAAGATAATGACAATTATGGTGGGACATTGGACATTTCTTTGCGACTTTGAGGCGAAACGGCATTCTTTTCCATGGCATGACCATTTGAATCAGGGCTGGGCGTGTTCGGTGTGTGAATGTTGATCGGGTATGAACCAGCCCGTGCATAATATGGGTGGCGCAGTGATTGTATGCTTCAGTGTCGTTTTATAGTAGAAATATGGCCCTGAACCCAGGTTCATAGGATGAAGCGAGTCTACCCGGATGTTCGTATGTGCCTAGCTTTACGATCATCCCCGGCTGCCGGAGATGCTGCCGGAGATGCTGCCGGAGATGCTGCCGGAGATGATGCGGATGTGGATGTTTTAAGGCGTTTACCTTGCTTGAAGTGATACGCGCGCGGTTGCTTAGAAATCTGTGGATCTCACCGCGTTGATTGTGGGAGATGGCGTCAGTGCGACGCTGAAGGCACTTAACGCTAGGGCCGGTTCAGGTATTTCACGACTGAGTATTCGTCTCACAATACTCAAGTGCTTTCTTCCAGTATTACTCTTTGAGGTTTGTCCATAAATACGCTTGTCCCGCCAAACCCTGTCTAATCACACAGCAGTCAAGACAGATCAGTGCTTTGCATTATCTCGCTGAGTGTATTCATTATTCACCCGTAGCTCCAGGGTCCACTACCTGAAATTGCGCCTCTGCGACTCGCAATGGCCTCCAACCCCACATTCTACACCTACGCTTCCCCTCGCGAGGGGTACGAAGACGCTCCCCCTTTGCCAGACGACCTCAATGAAGATGGCAAGAGCTTCAAGAACCCTCCACGGGAGGGCCTTAGTAAGGCTTACGAGGCATTTCCGGCGCCATTGGATAACGGACGCAGAGGAGGCTTGTTCGTGACTTCTCAGCTTTCTCAGAGGAAACCTGGGTACTAATACGGCAATACAGCGATATCCACATCTACCATTTCCAAACCAATCCAGAGCAAGTCAAACATGCGAAAGACCTCTGGGCACGTATTCGGCGAGAGTGTAAACATCTGCCGCCCATCTCGATTGAACGAGATTTCCGCTGACACACGTCCAGTTCCTGAACTGAGAATCTATCGATTCTGGGAGAAGCCTGTTGGCCCACATCCTGTGGCCATGTTCGAAGTCAACATCTTCACGCCGGCCCAGTTTGGTGCCTTCATTCCATGGTTGACCATCTACAGAGGTCCCTTGTCCGTTCTCATCCACCCCAACACAACTGAGGATGGTCAAGACCACAACGCTACTGAACTACGCAACCACACACAGCGAGCCACCTGGATGGGCGAGAAACTGCCTTTGGACACAACAGTCTTCTACCGCAATCAACAGTAATTTAACAAAACCATATCTAAAACAAATGCCCGTCAAACATGTTACGCTGCATGAGAAATGACCTGCATTGATGCTTCTGGCGATGATGTTAAGACAAGATGGTATCAGGTGTCATACGAGGCGAAAGCAATACATATAGTAGACGGCCCAATCCCTCGACTGCGGCACAACCTAGTCCATCTATACAGGATTGCAAGTGTGCAGGATGAATAGGAGCAAGGAAGAGGGCGTCGGCGGAAGGCAGATGGCGGAAGAACTTTACATTCGCGGCCAAAGTACCTTAGCCAAGTGCGCTGGGCTGAGGTGAGTGCCGGGTGAGCAGTCGGGTGGGGCCGTGGAGCGCATGATTAGTACCTTACCGATCGGTCACGTGGGTTCGCGCTCCCATGGTCATTGCCGTCATGACGTCGCAGCTTCTGTTTGTCAGCTTGTGAAGTGGGCAAATTCAAGACGAGTCTAGGCAGTTCTTCGGCATGTTCCTAAGCATAAAATCGTGCGATTCAAACTCTATTGCATCCCCTATTAACACGCTCCTATCCATACTTGTTAACCCAGTAGTCTGGTCTTATTGGTTTTGCGAAGGTGCCACCATGGCGGATCGGAAACGAACTAGGACCACCCGGTCCATGGCTCCAAAATCCGATGTACCGGATGTTTATCAAGAAATGCTGGCCGAGGCCGCCGCAGACGTTGGTCCTTCCGCATTGGTAGAGCGACCGGCTAAAAGACTTAAAAGACCCGGAGAGAAGAAGTCCGAGACTGCTGCCACCACGACAAAGAAGCCGGAGGTGGAAAGAGTTGATGACGACGTTGATGAAGATGAAGATATCGAGTTCGAAGACGTAACTCTTCCTCCGGCGACGGTCCAGACCATGTACAGAGATTCAGACGACGAAGAAGAAGAAGAGGACCTGGATGGAATCGAGTTTGAGGATATCGATTTCGGGGCTGTGCAGCCTAACTCAGAAGCTCTCGAAGAAACCAACAAACTCACGCTGAATCTGTCGGAACACAGTAGCACTGTGACTGCGGCGCGAAAGGGAGTCAACAAACGAAAGCCTCTTACGAAAGAGGAGAGAGAGCGCCGCATTTCCATTCACAAGACGCATCTTTTATGTCTCTTATTACACTGCGCCCTGAGGAACCGTTGGTGTGACGATGAGCAGGTCCAGAAGAGCCTCCGCCCTCTTCTAACTAAACAGACCATCAACTATCTGACACCAAGTCCGAGTCTTCCACAGTTTGGGCAGACGGAGTCGCTAAGGAATGGACTGCAACAAGCCGGCAGTGTGTTCAAGTCAAAGTTCCAAACTACAGAACGAGGGCTATGCCGACCCCTATGGGCAGAGGATCCCGAACATCTTGCCAACGTAAGTTCATGTTGTTCCACCGCTCGAACAAAATGGCTGACCTACTACTCCCAGTATGAACCACCCACCAACATGGATTCATGTATGGACCGTTCGGACTTCAGAGACGCAGCTAGAAAGCTTTGCGGATCCCGAGATGTTGGTGCTCAGCTGTATTGTGCTTTACTACGGTCTGTCGGAGTCCGCGCTCGCTTGGTTTGCTCATTACAGCCACTGTCGTTCGTTCAGGGCGGCCCCAGTTTACCAAAAAGTCGGGAAACAAAGCAACCAAAGAAGCCAACCAAGGAGGAAAAAATACGAACCCAGCTATCACAGTACAACACTATTGCAGAAGGATCACTGTCTTCTGTCTCAAGTCTAACCTCACCACTTCGACGACTAGGCCACCCTAATGCTGCGGCCTACCGGTTGCCATTGGTACCAACTCCGCCACCGACTATGCGACAGCCAAAAGAGACGCCGAAGAGTATCCGTGAGTCACCTTTCCCAGTCTACTGGGTCGAGGTACTAGATATTGGCCATCAGAAATGGCAACCCGTGGACCCACTGGTCACGAATTCCATGTGGAAGCCTAAAGCGTTAGAACCACCAGGTACCGACAGGGAAAACTCTCTGACCTATGTGATTGCGTTCGATACCGACGGCACGGCACGAGACGTCACGAAACGATATTCCAAGGCTTACGCGGCCAAAACGCGGCGGCTGCGTATCGAAACGGCTATTGAACATGGGGATCGGTGGTGGCGAAAAGCGCTGAAGCCGTTTGCCCGGCGTTGGCCCACTGACCTTGACCAGATTGAAGACAACGAGCTGACTGCGATTGAAAGGCGCGAGCCAATGCCTCGCAACGTAGCAGACTTTAAAGGCCACCCAGTGTTTGCACTGGAAAGGCATCTGAGGCGCAGCGAGGTCCTTATTCCAGATGCGCAACCCGCAGGAACGGTCGCGGTCGGGAACAGAGCCGCGCTTGAGAAAGTGTATCGACGGAAGGACGTACGGATGGCCCGAAGCCGGGACAAGTGGTACCGTATGGGGCGCGAAGTGAAGCCAATGGAGATACCTATCAAGTTCTTGCCGCGACGGGTCAACGCAAAGCCAGGGGAGTACGTCGACGACGGCTATGGAGGCGACGAGCGTAACGCCGCCGGTACGCCCGTCTTCACACAGGAGCAGACGGAAGTATACCGCGCCCCTCCGGTCGTCAATGGGCGAGTGCCGAAGAACAAGTTTGGCAACATCGACGTCTACGTTGCGACCATGGTGCCGAAGGGTGGCGTCCATATACCCGACGAGTTCGACACTGCTGCACGAGCCGCCTACACGTTAGGCATAGACTACGCATCTGCTCTGTCAGGGTTCCATTTCAAAGGCAAGCACGGTACGGCAGTTTTTAACGGCGTAGTGGTAGCTCAGGAGTACGAAGAGGCTGTGCGTGCAGTGATGGCAGGCTTCGAAGATGTGGATACGCAAGCAGAACGTAGCAAGCGGTCATTGGTGGCTATCCGCATGTGGAGGCGGTTCCTCATGGCTCTCCGTATCCGGGAGCGAATATGGGCAGGCGTGGATGCTAAGGAGCGTGCTGAGGACGAGAGAAGATTAATTGGGTCAGCCGAAGCCAATGCGAATGGTGAAGTGGACAACCATGACATTGAGGAGAGCGGCGGATTTTTTGTCGAGGACGGGCCTCTGACCGGTAACGATGCCAGAACCACAGCCGAAGGCAGAGTCGGTGTCGAGATTGACGCAAGGGACATTAAGGACAATTACGCTGCAGAAAGCGGCGGCGGGTTCATCGACGACGACGATGATGCAGACATCGATTCTCACACTGTAAACGATGCGACCATGGATAACGTTAGAGATGAACTCATCGTTGAGGATGAAAGTAAGGCAGGCCGTGCAGCTAGGGACGATAACGAAGCCGGAGGTCGGCGTGGAGAATACGGAATCAAGACAGAAGATTGGGGCGGATTTGAGTCGGAGCCGGACGACGAAGAAGTCGAGGATGCGCCTAGCGATGTCACTGAAGAGTATGACATGGAAGACGACGAGGGTGGCGGAGGGTTCTTGGTGGATTAGACTAAGCGACGACTTAGAAGCTGGAGGCAGGGCGAATGGTTCCGATATCGATACCCTTACAGCAGGAAATTTTCATGCTCACGGATAAACTCACACGACAGTTCGTCATTTCTTCAATGCCATTGTGCGGCCATTCAACAGCCTTATCGAAGTTAAAGGAGTCATCCAGAGTTCCCAAGACATCTTAGCCTCGCAGCAGGGATACCCTGCTGATGTAATCAGTATATTACCCTGTAGGTACTGCCAAATTTATGGATCACCATTTCAGTGTCGGCAGCACCAGCGTGGTCTTGCCGAGCACACTGGGAAAATTCTTCCACTCTGGCCGTGCCCCGAACCAAGCCCTGAGGTCCGAGTCCCTGACGAACCAGGCTTGACTGTGCTGACTAACCGTTTCTTTGAGAGAAGGACCCCCCAAGGTCAAAACTTCAGCGCGTCCCCGGATCAATCAACGCCTTTCCAACCTCCATCGGCAGCCTGGTTCTTCCTATTCCGTCCACCAGATCGCTCTCTAAGCAGATCCATCACGAAAGCCCGCGTCGGATTATTTCCAAGAAATAGTAGAGGTCAGTCAGCCCGAATCAATCGTTTCACACCCCAAACTCCCCAACGCGTCTGCTGCCGGAACCACAATCCTGTTGCGGCACTGCGCGATGGAAGAGGATCCGGCGCAGATGCCATCGTCGCCGCAATGTTGCGATGTGCGATGGCAGCAATTGACAGATGAAGCCTGAGCTCTACGACCGGCCTAGCTGGAGCTTGAGCTTGTCGCGTCCGCGTCCGCGTCGTAGAGCTTTGGAAGGCAAGCCTTCGAATCTCGTCCCGTCAACGCCTGGAACTGAGAGAGCGAGATAAAAGAGAACGAAAGAAAAATTGGAAGAAAATATTTTTGTACTAAGACATAGGTTTCCACAGTCAATTGAACTCGCCTCGACTTCGAGGACTTGCCGTTTTGTCGTGCAACCGAACTGCGACGCGCCTTGTGCATGCGCGAACCCGAAATCGAATCGCCATCGCCATTACCCTCTTGACGCGCTTTGCCAATACCAAAAGCCGCCCAGCCATCTGGCGGTCGATTCGCCCACTTCCTCAACGCTGTTTTGCCATTGCGCAGCCAAGTTACTATTGACCTCATCAGCACAAGCTGCGTGCGTGTCACCTGCACCAGGAGGCAAACCAAACTTTTCGACCTGGCGGTAGCTTGTGCAGGGTGTCGTGCTATACCCTTCCGCGCAGCACTACCTATCGAAAGCGATACATCTTTCTTAGCGAACTTATTTTGGTACATTGGCCATTATGAGTTCGGCGCGCGAAGGTGACCCGATCGAGGAGGAAAGACTGCAGGTGCAGGGTCTCCAAGAGGACAGACTGGAAGGTGACAGGATGCAAGAAGAAGAGGAAATTCACGAGGACCGGATAACAGAGGAGAGCATCCAAGATGAAAGAGCCCAGAGTGACAGAGTTGAAGACGACCAATTGCAAGACGAGCGTCTCCCGAACGAGGGCCTTTCAGACGAGCGCATGCCAGACGAGCGCATGCAGGATGAGCGAATTCAAAGCTACCCGTCCCCCCATATGCCCGAGGAACGAATTCAAGACAGCGACCGGATACAAAGCTACCCTTCTCCCTCCACCGAGGCACAGGACACCGGCCCGTACTATCACGCTGGTCCACGGGACGACACACAACAAGACCACACACAGCCGCCTCCTACACCCCAGCAGCAGCCCTCTCACTCTGCCAGCGTCGAGGAGTTGCAATTAGCTGCCCAGCTAGGCCAGGACTTGGCGGCAGAGCCCATGATGCATGTCACGGATCCTGGGATGAATGTCGAGGATCCCGGCCTGCGCAGCATCATGCCTCACCCTCACCCTCACCAGGAGCAGCCTCAGCCTCAGCCTCAGCCTCAGCCTCAACCTCAGCACCAGGCTCCTCCTCCGCCGCCCCCTCCTCCTCGCTCCTATGTGCCTGAGGAGTCCCTCCCCGAGCCTCTCCAGCAACACGTGGCTGTGCCTGTAGCAATGGACCATCATCACCTTGCTCAGTCATATGCCCTTGGCGACAGTACGCCCCCAAGAAAGCGATCCAAGGTCTCTCGCGCTTGCGACGAGTGTCGGAGAAAGAAAGTCAAATGTGATGCTCAGTCCGATTCCGGAGACAACCCATGCTCCAATTGCAAGCGCTCTGGCATCCGCTGCATGTTCAGTCGTGTTCCTCAGAAACGTGGCCCAAGCAAGGGGTATGTTGAGACCGTTATTGCTCATATTTGCACCAGGCCTAGACTAACTCTGACTGTTCAGATACATTAAAGAACTTGCCGACAGGATCAACAGCATCGAGGGCAAGTTGGAGATCCAGAGTGAGTCTTTGCCACCCGATCCAATGGTACACTGGACATCTGCGGCAGCACTTAACTCGACATCAGGTCCTGGTGAGGACGCTACTCGCAAGCGGCCATTCTCCAGCATTTCCAGTGCCGACCTATCTACTCCGGCACCACAGAGACAGGCTACTTGGGGTACGGAACATCGCCCTCTTCAGCCCATGACAACGCCATCGGACCGGTTCCAGTCGTCCCCCTTCACTGCCAACGGCTTGGCTCCTCAGCCCATGCCTATCAAGAATGACATGCAGCCTCGCCCCCCAGTTGCTCCGATGGATGGCCCTGTCACGGATATGTCCGATATTGACCAGGCTCGAGATGTAGATGATGAGGTGTTCAACGGGTAAGTGGCTCTGTCCGGCAGCCCTAGCTCTCGTCAGCAACGAAATTAACCTTGGGTTGTTAGTTATCTCACCATGATCCAGCCTTACCTCCCGTTCTTGCCGAGCAGCAAGGCGCTGATCCAGGACTATTTGGCACAGTGCCCTGGTCTTCTTCGCGAAGCTTTTGTTGAAGCTCTTTCGGGAACTATTCATTCTTTCCCTTCTTTCCAGTCGGGCACCCCTGGAGATGTTCGCCTCGCCCACACACTACTGGTAGAATGGGAGGCTAGTGACTCCACAGCACGAAGTCCTGTTGCGAACCTGGTTTTCCTTCAGACCCTCCTCCTGATGATTATTGAGGCAGACAACCGACCTTTGGGCTCCATCGGTGCACCCAAAGAATCACTCCTCGGGAGAGCAGTGGCGAGTTCCAATGCCCTGAAGCTCTATCAGGCTAAGGCGGACTTGTCCGAGGCTGAAGCTGGATCAGATACCGAGAGTCAGCTTCGCGTCAGAATCTGGTGGTCATTGGTCATGCTTGACCGATGGAACGCACTGGGCGCTGCAGTGCCCTCATTGATTCGTGACGAGAGCGTCGTTGTTTCATCCAGCTTAAGAGTGGTTGTTGGAGAGGTCCAATATCTATTGATCCGTAAGCTCAGGCCGCAAGCTGCCCAAATTTGTTTTTTTTTTGGAGCGGTAACCGAATACTAACCATCATCATAGGCGCCTCAAAGTTTTTGAGCCGTGCATCGGTTATGATCACCAACTTCCAAGAACCCTTGAATTCGACCTTTGCCGATCGTATGGTAGGCTCTTTCATGGACGCCTGGGTAGAGGACTTCCGTGAGGACCTGCCCGCTCACATTGAGGCTGGCTCATATCCTGTCGTCCATTTAGTCTACTGGCACTGTCGCTTGCTAGCTTACCTGCTCAACCCCTCCGCCAAATCGACGGATGCCCTCTGGCCTAGCCAGGAGTTGATTAACTTACTCGTCAGCCACTCACAACTCATCACGCCCTTGCACCATCATTTCACTGTGCTTGCTGTCTTGACGCTGATTGAGCTTGCAAAGGTGGACAGGACAAAGGAGGATGCTACACGGCTTCTTAGTGAATACCGTGATTCGTCACTGCCAGCGTCAGTCTTTGACGGCTTGGTCCGGGACAAAATTGCCGACCACCTGCGTCCGTCTACTAGTACCGCTGCGGCTTCGGCTCCGTCAGCAATGGAGGCGGCTGCAAGTCAGGGTCTACAACATTTGGCCGATTTGGCGACGCTCTCATCGGCCGCCGTGGATAAGACAGAGGGCAACCACACATACCGCACCGCACCGAACTATGAAGATATGGGCTTCGACCCTCGGCCACTTTTACTTGTCGGTTACCTCAATGTTGTCCGTGCAACCCAGCAGACAGCTTAGGGAGGCTCTCATCTTGCCTATGCCGGACATCAAGAGGAACAACAGCAGATGAAGCTAAGGTTACAACGACAGTGGGTGCAGCTGTATGAGGCTCAGGAGGCAGAGCTGCAAGCGCAACAACTGCAATTACAGGAAGATTCGCAACAGAGCAGTCAACAACAGGAACAGTTGCATTACTCATCGCAACAGCAGCTAGAAGAGCAACAGCTGGAGCAATGGATTCGGGCACTGCGTCATTAGATAGAGGAACCCCAATGAATTCCGCACGTATGGATCCGGACAGCAATATGTACTCCTGGCGAAACTCGAAGATGAACGCGGCGGGCTTCCTGGCATAGAGCACGCGCGTGCGCTAAGGGGAGGAAATGAGCGCGCTTAGGTCGGCAAGGGTCTGCAGAAAGGCGTCTGCCAAATTTTTCATCTGAACCGTCCCGTTCGGGCGATTAGACGGCTTGTATTATATTATAAAAGTGTATTGTACTGTGTAATTGTAAACCTGACTCTTTCGTGCGCTTTTCTCAGTTTGCTCCCCATGTTTGCGTATCAAGCCTCATCCATTCACCGCAAGGGTGGTGTTGTCACTTTTGTGAGGCAGTGCGAGTGGCAGCCCAGTCCTTGTGCTGTCTGTCTCTCCACATCTCCAGCACCCCCATTCTCCAGTCTCCAATCTCAGGTCACGCGTGTAATACCCTCAGTCTCACGCGGATGCCGCCGTTGCCATGAATGGCTTTCATCCCGACGAGGATCCTCCCTTTGGCGGCAGCACTGAAGACGGCTTGGTTGGAGAGCCGATAGAAGCTGTGTCCAGCTCTTCTGCTCACCCGCGTGGCATGCCGGCGTTACGTACCACTCACCCACCGCTTGGTAGATGATTTCCTCACCGTCTTATGCCTTGAGCCATCTGTCAATGCAGAGGATAGGCATTTCCGTGGGGTCAGACATTCCCACGTGCGGTACGGCGTATCAGATGGGGGAGAGCATCGCGTTGCCGTTGCCGTTGCCCTTTGTTTCCTGATCAGACTTGACCCAAAAGGAAACGTCACAGGAAGCCGTTAGCACTGAAGGTAGATAGCTCGTTTGCGATATGAAAAGAGCACGAATGCTTCAAGTAAGCAAGCATGAAGGCTCTGGGCTTCTTCGCTGCCGAGTTTGCCGAACATCTTGGTGGCGGTTATTTTCATGGATTGGCCGCCACGACTCGAGACGCCCTGTCACATCCGCCTGTCCTTGCTTCTCAGGCGCATTTAGGGGGAGCCCCCCGACTTGATTCTCATCTACGGGACATCACCTCCCTACAACGGGGGAATTTGCATGTATACTATGTAATGTAACCGTCCTTTCTCTCCCCCCTTCTTCCCCTCCCTCCTCCCCGTCCTGGTCCAGTATGTACACGGGAACCAATCCGGTTGCATCCTCTTATGGGGGTTCAAAAATGCGCCGAGAGCCGCGCCGGTGCTGACAACGATTGATGACACATCCCATCGCCGATCGTCCACCGAGGAGCCATGCTACCCAAGGCCGGCACCAACCACCATTTCGGCATCCATTCCCCTGACCAGCTCCTCCCATTCGGCGACCAGGGGGAGCCTCCTTGAAAGAAGATTGGACGGTCAAGGCCTTGACAAGGTGCCGTTGAGTCCACCGCTAACCCAAATCAAGATGGGCTCGATCCTCCTCTTCGGTCACAGAACGGGCTGCGCGTACACACAGACCAGACTCGAGGTGGTTAACCCCCCCCCCCCCCGAAAGAATATCGATGACATGACGATGCAAGCTGATGGCATGCAGGGGAAAACATGCAGCCCGCCATCCAAAAAGAGGACCTGGGTTCATGAGCCCTACTTCTTGCGAGCGGCCGGCAGCTGCAGCAGCAGAGTTGCCACCTACCCTGCCTCGTGCTGTCGCCCTGCTCCAAGAGGCCAACAAAGCCGACATGACCGGCCTTCCATTGCCATGACGGACAGACAACGGTGAGAGAGTGCAAGAACACCAACAGACCACAACACAGCTTAAGCTGAATCACAGCGACGGACAGGCGGACAAGACCCTCGTTTCATCCCCGTTGGTCCCCAAGGGCAACGAACGAATACATAGTAGACCTTCCACAGGGGGTATCACAGGTAAATACACAACTCAATCGCCGTTGCAAGGGCCTTTTATCTGATTGGAGTGGATCCCTGTCACAGAAGAAAGCTACGTATCTTGCATTGTGTCCTATCACTGTGGTAGATTGTTTGGGCCTGTGACCCTCACTCATCTCTCCATCAGTTGTCATCCACGCACCACGTCGACTGTCCAGGTTCAAGTGGACAATGATGTATGACCTTGGCATTGGCTAACAAGGCGGACCTAGGTCTTGTCGGTCTCAGTTGCCTTACTGCTCTCCGTACGACGGACAGCTTCGAGTCAAACGAGCCGGAAATGAGACTGAATTTAGGCCGTTGATTGGAATCTCGAACGACTCATGCCCCATTCAGGCAGAGAGGTAGGGCAAGTAGGTGGATGCATGTGCCTCAGTTCTCTGCCTTCACTCCCAATCAACCCCTTGCAACATACATCACAGTCTATATAAGGGTTTCCAAGGAGGAGAGATAATGGCGATGTGGTAGTGGAAACAACAAAACTATGCAGCCGCGGAAGCGTGTGTCTGTGCCTCTGTGTTCATGGACCAATCGATTCACCAGTCCTCTCTTCTAAGTACCCTCAAGACTTTCGAGTCTATACTGCTTGAGCCTTCTATATACCAGCTTGTCCATCTACAGTGAAAAACAATCGATGGCTGTGAATACGGGCAGGTTCCTTCCCAGCTTCCAGCGTACGTACATGATTCGTCGTCTAACCAGTCAACCGCCCTTCCATCCTCATCCGAAATGCTCCCCACATGCCTGACGCCAAGTCCAATTGGTGATGATGATAGTAATGAAGATGCAAGTCACTCTCTTTCGAGCCGCCCGTTCCTTCTTTTTTTCATTTTTAAGAACCGTAGCCAAATGTAACGTTTGAAAGAAAAGAAATATAAAAAAAGAATAAAAATATGTAAAGCCCAGATGCTGTCAAGATGGAGTAAAACAATGTCTGCGCCGACTCCATGGATACGGATCGTAGATGGGGCGTCCAGCCAGTCGTCCACCGTAAATCTCATCTCTCTTATGCTCGAAATCCTTGCGCCTGTGCTTGCCGTCTAAATCGATGGGCGGGATATCATGGGCGTGCAAGCGTCGAAACTTTTTTCTTCCATAACAAAACGCCTCATTGCAAGGTCCAAGAATCGGCGTGGAACTGCGGCAGGCCGTCCGGAGACTCCTGGTAAGTGGCGATGCCGTCATTGAACTGTTGGCCCCAGAATGCCGGGTCATCGTCAAACGTAAGGGACCCACCAGCAATAGGGCCGCCATCGTCAAACGAAGAGGGTGCCGTCATGAATTTGTTGCTCGATGATTTGGCAAAGCTATCGTAATCAATCGTGCTGAGATCCGCGCCGGTAGCAAGGTAACTTGCCGGGTGGATGAAGCTGCTGCTTCCAGTACCAAAGCCGTCGTAATCGCTGTCGCCTGCGATGAAGTTGTCCTCAACCTCGGAGACTTCACCTGACGTCGAGGTTGTCGCTGCCAGTGTGGGGGCCGGCTCGGAGCCGGTACCGAAATCGAACATGCCATTGAAGCTCTGCGCACCGGCCTGGCTGTAACTTGAGGGAGCAAACTTGTCCGTCCTGTCTGTGAGATCGATATGGCTCCAGTCCACTGAAGCAGCGCTCAGTCCGGCGCTGAAGATGGGCGCATCGTGATCCGACATTCCAGAGCCTCCAAACAGGTCAAAAGAGCCATTGGGCACATATGACGGGTACTCGATGCCGGACAGATCAAGCGGCGGTAGCTGGTTGTTGAGCTGCTGGAAACTAGAAGAGCCTCTCATCAAGGGAGAGGCGGCTTCGGACTTGACAAGTCGCTGTTGGCGGACGGGCGCAACACGGCCAGTCACGGGGTCCTTGAGAGGGTTGTCGCTGATGCGCTCAGGGGAGTGGCTACCCAGACTGCTGGTGCTATGTAGGGAGTTCACACGGTTGAGTTGGTAGGGCCCGCACTTCTGAGAGGCCTTGTTGTGTTTGTGAGCGGGCTTGTGATGGCCGTGCTCGTCGAAGGTCAACATGCCATCAGAGTGAACCGTGTTCGCGCGACGTCTACGAATGGGCGGCTTCGGTCGAGGAGCAATAGCTTCCTTGTCGGAGTCGGATTCGGGTACGGTGTCGAGGGCTGGCTCCTTCTTGTGGCTACAGGTACAACGACCACCATGGTTGCAGCAGCAGGTTTCTGTTTGTGATGAATGTCGGTGTTAGAGGGTCATGATCCTCACGTCTCACTGAGGGGAGGGGTTCTTCGTCCCGGAGGAGACTCACCTCGATGACCCTCAACCGTGGGTTGCAGGTGGGCGCATTTGCTTGTCTTCTCGCCGCAGTCGCACTTAATGTGGGCAGAGCGCGACTTGCGCATTGAGCGACAATGTTGACATTGGGAGACGGGGCGGCCCTTCTTGTTGATATGCTGAAGGGGACGATCTGCAGCGAGGCGAGCGGTTAGCTGCACAAGTCTTGTTCACCAACGGGTTGTCTTTAACTGGCTGACTGGTTTGGGGGAATAGAAGCCACCACCTCAGTAAGCAAAGTAAACAAAGAAGCGTCGAAGCAGCTTGTGCAATTGCAACAGCCGACTAGCTTGGCTGTCCGCCCAGGTTGCACGGATGCAATTGAAGGAAAGACCATGAAGAACGAGAACAAGACGACTTACCAGAGTGTTGGCAATTGCTAACACGGTGACCCCGAACGCAGGCCTCGCAGGCGTACTTCTCCCCGTCAATGATCATGCCGGGCAACAAAGCAAGCAGCAAACGCGAAAGGAAGGGTTGGGAGGAAAAAAGCGATTCTAAGTTCCCCGCCACAAGGGATTTGGGAAGGAGGGAGATCGAGATGATCGGGCGGCCGGCGTCAAAAGATACGGTCGGAGTCGAGTCGAGTCGAGGCAAGACGAGGGTGTGGTAGGTCGGGTCGGCCTGGAAAGTGGGATTTTCTTGCCCTGGGACGTGGAGCGGGAGCTCTTCGGTCTCGTTACAGAATGTTTGGCGTGGGCTGGGGGGGGGCCGTGTTAGTCCCCCTGGTTGGGATGCCGTGGATGCGATGGCCAAAGGCAGGGCCGGCCGGTCGCGGAAGCTGGAGAAGGGCTTTCGAGAGACCGTACCGAACGGGGTCGTGGTGCGTGCTTGGTGCTGCGGCTGGTAGTGGGAATCCGGCCAAGGGTTTTTGGTCAGGAGGGTAGACGGAGCCTTTGGTCGGAGTTGGAGAGACTCAGACACAGGAAGCCCTGGAGAGGGGGAAAGACTGGAGTAACAGTGACGCCGAGCACAGCAGAGTGTGTGGGGGTCTATGAATAGGACATGTCCGTGGGGTATATCTGCTAAGAGATTTTCATAAAAATCCGATGAAAAATAAGAGATGAAAGACGAGGGAAGGGCAGGGTCGGCCAAGCTTGTGTTCTGGAGCCGTAGGAGGTACGCGAGGACCACTCAGACCAATTGACCGATGTCAACGGCCGGAAATTCCAACAAGTGGGTAACTTTAGTTTGGGTGGATGTTGAGTGGAGATTTGGATCGCTTGTCCGGTGTCGTGTCTTGTCTTGCTTGCTCGCTCGAACCAGGGCGGGTAAGAGGCAGAAAGAAGGAAAGAGGAAAGATGGTCCTTTTTCTCCAACTCTCTCGGATGAGCCGTGAAGACAGGATGTGAACGCGGCCTCACAAGCGGGAAGGTGAGCCGAAGTTGCGCAACATTGGCAGGTAGGTACGTCGGTAGCTGCGCGATTGCGACGCCAAAGTTTCGCCTTTTACCGGTCCTAGAGTACGTTCCAGACTGCCTTGGTTGCTTGGTTATTTGTGGCTTGGTTATTTGTGTGGGAGAACTGAGAGGAAAAACGATGAAGGATGAACGGGATGTGGTCGGTGTGTGGCGGGCCGTGGTTCACGACGAAGGAACGTGCAGCGATAGCCGGGTTTGGCGCCTTCTCAGCTCTTTTCGCCTAGGACTGGACGGAACTTGGGATTTACAGGGACTGGAATCGAGACTGAGACTTGGAACCAAAGGAAAACCCTGCCAGCCAGTCGTGGAGGGTGGGAGGACCGGAGGGGTTGGAAACGGTGCAACGGGGTGGGGGTTTTGGTGTGTTATTTCCCCCCAACCTTTACTGCGGTAGGTTGAGGGCGCGCGCGCGTGCTGCTGCTCTGCAGCGGAACGACGTCAAAGGTCGTTGATGCCTCAGGGTTGCCCTGTGCGGGTACCTAGTCTGCTGCGATGTGCCAGCTGAGGGACGGCCGATTGGAGTGTGGCCAGAGTATTGAGGGGAACAAAGTAACCCGAGGTAAGGCGAAGAATCTGTAGAGTGCAATTCGTGTGAACGGGTGCAGATGCGATGCTGCAAGACGACGGAGACGCTGCCACCTCAGCGGGGATGGGGTAACGCAAAACGATGTCGTCCTTGGCCTTAGCCTTGGGGGCGACGGCGGTTGGTCGGTCTTTTGGTCCTTCGGTGGTGAAGCCCGAAGTAGAAGAGTGCTGAGGAGCCTGAGGTCGGCCAAGGGCGAGTTCAGGGCAAAGTATCGGAAATGGCTCCCTGAGGGATGGAGCTAACGCGATGTGGCTGAAAGGACCTGGGGGCTCAGAGTTGGATACGGGTATTCATACGGTGTGTCTGTACCTTGGTTGCGCGGCCGTGATTGGTTGGGGATGAGTGATGACTCGGTTTAGGTGTCGCAGTGTCTGGCTGGTCTTCCAGGTTATCTGGCGCTGTGCTGAGTGATGAGAGGAGAAGGAACAAACAGCAAGGCGGGATATGTGGTGGGCGGTGGCAGATGACCGGCTGACGCCTGTCAAAATGGCGATGGACTATGATGTAACAATGGTTGAGATATCTTGTTCTTGACGGAGAGAGAAAGGGATGGCAACTGGGCGACTGTCACTCGGGGATGGGTCGAAGTAGTCGCTTCGTGTTTGCGACTGCACAACGACTGCCCGCGTCAATGGTATACGAAGCGCAAGCTATGTCCTGCCTTGTCAGTCAAGGAGGAGAGCAATGCGTCGCCTTACCAGAAGGAGGATGCAGAGGAACGTTGAAAGGCAGAGGCAAAAAGGGTAGGAAAAGGGTAGGAAAAGGATGGCGAGACTAGATAACGAGCGGACGTGGGATGCTATTTCAATGCTTGCGACCATGGACTAGGAGAGTGAGAGAGAGATGGAAGAGAGCGAGGCAAGACATGGCAAGACAAGGCAGAGCGCATCACATCAGACAGACGGCGGCGGCGGCACAGCGATGGCTGTTGGAGCTTCCTCCTCTGATTCTAGTCGCAGCGCTGCTGGTGCCGGTGTTGGCGGCGCGTTGGCCCTGTCCGGGGTCTGGTGTGTGCATGTGGGTGTGTCTTCTGTCTGTCTGCTTCACATCCCGGTGTGAAGATGGTGGGATTAACTGTGGGGGGGCTGGCCGGGCCCGAGGAGAAAATGGCACGGGATAGCAGAGCATGGCGATGGCGATGGCCGGGGCCATGCGATATTGTGGGTGGACAGTGACAGGACGGATTGGGATACGTGTGGATGGTCACCGATGGTGGGTGGTGGGGGACGCTGTGGGAAGGACACACATGAGAAATGTATCCCATTCGAGGGTCCTAATTGGGGCACCCAACACGTGTAGGGAGGAAGAGACTGAGGTACAAGTAGAGAGAGGACATTGGAGGGAGGAGTTGGGGTTGAGAATTGCAGGGGAGAAAACAAAACAAAACTTTTAATCATAAACACTAAGGACAACAATAATGAAATGGGAAGAGAAGGGGAGGGGAGAACAACAGCAGCAAAGCACACCGTACAATGCAATCCAGGTGAGAGACGTTGAGAGGAGGCGAAAGACACCACTCAACCCCGCCAAAGACAGTCCAGGGACATCACCACAAATCCCTACTTTTACTTCGTCTCACTCTTCATTACCTCATACGTCGGCTCGCAACCACGGCTGGGAAAATCCGTTCGTCCCTAACCACATCAACGTCCGCACGTTAGCCTGCCCGGCCGTACAGGCGGAACGAAGGAGGAAGAGAAGGCCCCAAAACCTGCCGGAAAGGAGGATGCACCTCGTGCGACTAAGAACGAGACGGCCAAGAGGGTCTCATATCCTTCTTTGCCTGTACCGTTTCGTCCCGGGCTGACGGGCTGACGGGCTGACTGGCTGACTGACTCCCATTCTGCCGCCTCAGGGAGCAATGGCCACATGACATGAGTAGTGAACAGTCCAAGGTGAAATAAGAATGGCTCACCGCTTCCTCACAGACTGAATATGGCTATGGCGGAACTGGCCATCACAGTCATGTTCCACCACCATGACTAAAGTAGTTCACGAAGCAAGGGAAATGGTGTGTACTCTTCCTTGCCCTCCAGAAAACAGACACTTCTGTAAGCTTGCGCTAGTGACTGGGCGAAATATCACGTTGTAGAATACACAAAACACCGTTGCCCGCTGGGACGATACTCTGTCCAGCAGCACATTGATGAGTTTAACAGCAAGCGAGCAGAAAGGTACAACAAACATTCCGTGACCAAGTCATCAATCAACCCGGAACAGGGGGGTTGGCGGATAGACAGACTGGTCGACCGCCCAGGAAGTGAGACGAGGCCGCCGCCGACCAAATCTACGGCGCACGTCCAGGGCCTTCGACAGCTCAAGATTGCGTGAGCAACCGCATAATAACCGTCAATAAACACCTTATTGGATCGGACCTCGCAATTGAGTATGCACATGGCGTAGGGAGGGACGTGTGATGTGGGATCCCTCAGCAATGTTGGAGGGGGAGAATGGGACAAACATTGTGGGGAGAGACACAAGTGTGGGATGAGGGACGAGAGGCAATCAGTTGTACACAGCACCACACCGCACCGCATAGCGCTCTGAGCGCTATTCCCAGTGAGAAACAGGAACGCACCATTTCTAACGTCTTGTTGCTAACCCAACGGTCAGGATGTCTGATAATTACGGGAGAAAGGCTAGCAGCATCCTTGATGAAGATATTGAATACAATACATCTTGGTCAAACCTTGCAGCCGCCACTAACTCGCACACACACACACACACACACACACAGACAGAGAGAGAGAGAGAGAGAGAGAGAGAGGACATTTGCCAAGCCCTGCTTAGGGTTGGGCGATAAGGGGCACCGCAAAGTGGCATATGGATATCAGGTAATCCCAGAAAGCAACGAAGCTGGCCTTGGCTGATACTAATGACTCCTCTTTGTGCAAACCAGGGCAGATGCGGATACACCAGTGCACATGTCACGACTAATGTACTTCCCAAGGCCTGAGTGGTCCGCTCAGGGCATTCCACTTGCCAAGAGGAAGTGCTAGTTTACTTCACAGCCCCGTGTCCACTCAATCACCGTAGGTAATGGAACCAGTCCATATCCACAAGGAAATAACAACCTGCCACATGTTTGGAGACTGGGGATTCTCCCTCGGGAGAAGCTCGTCAGCGTCTTTTTCCCCTTCGTCGTCACGGGCCCAACGCCTGTAACCGCCGACGTCCGGCCTAGATGAAGAATGACACTGTCACCTCTCAACGCCCCATCCACAACCAATGGGTACGCGAACCAGCCTGTCAACGACATGTAGCATCACACATGTTTAGTTGTGTGTATCGTGCAACGACGGATTTTTGTGCGGGTGTGACGTTTAATGAATTTGGTATGAAAGTGCATGTGACCTCAGCTGATTCCCAACTTCTCATGATAGTCAAGACGACTGCTCAAAGCCAGGTGCCCAGCAACGGGTTGTAAAGTT